TGAGTAGCAAATGATGTGCCAACACTAAACATTATGAGGTGTTTATACAAGTTAGTATGCGGTTAATGTAATCTTGTTCTGTAGACAAAAGGGACAGAATTGGACTATCCCGGGGAACTTACCTTCCAATTCTGGTAAAAGTTATCATAAGCATTTTATGTGGCACTAACCATCAACTATTTTTTTATAGATCTATAACAGCTAGCTTAGCTAAATAATTATAAATGCCAGTCTAATTTATGAACTTAAAAAAATAATTACAACTTAATGAAAAATAATATTAACAAAAAATGCTACATTATTATTCAGGCCCAACCTGAGTCTAGTCTTATGCATTCTGTGCATATCTTACTTTCATTATCGTCAACAACTTCAGCACGAGCAGTTCCACTCTCAAGTAATTCCACATTATTGACTTCATCAAATGAATTAGACAAGAACAGCTCTACACCATCAGCTGTAATGGTGTCTGGTAATCCTGACAACAACAGGTAGTGTACTGACTCTACTGGTGGCTCTGAGTCAAAAAAATATGAAATGATATCTCGCGAGTAATGATTAACTAACCTTCTCCAGAAGAATCTTCTTCAGTTGCACCACTAGCCATAGCTTACTGTGATGCTATGAGAAAGATAGGCTTCGAATATGGGATGTATCCTAGCGAGAGTATGTCTTCTAACAGATAATCCTCTTCAACAAAAGACACAGCGTGGTTTTCTCCTTTAAAAATTATAAAAGACGCACGTATCTATGACCACACCCCGCGCATTCAATGACCGGCCGACTCATTATCACGAATCAATGGTGTTATGATGCACCATCTGTGGATGAATACATACAAGAACTGGTGGCAAGCAAGCTGCTATGGAATATATTCCAATGCTTTATTATGAATGACTTATGTGGTGTTAATTGAGCCATTACAGGGAAGTTGAACCAGCAGAGGCACAGAGGAAGGGCTAAGTATGCAAGACTAGACTATTTGAGCAGAGCTTGATAAAAAAATATATGGTGATGATTGAGTATAGAGTCAGTAGACCATTGAAGGGAGGAAGGAGGTAAGCTTTAATGATATACTGTAGTGAGTATAAAAATTTGGCAAATTACTCTAAGGTCTAGGAGACTCAGTAATTTTGTCAATCTACATACCATGCCACAAAATGACAAAATCAATCGTTAAAATTTTGACAAGGAGCTTAAATTAACATTTTAAACACACCTTCACTTACACTTTAGAAGTGAGATGAATGCATTATTAATCAATTAGTTTCTTGAACAGTGATCACTCTAATTAAGCACAGGACCCTTATGAATATGTTCCAGATGATTTTATAAGTGAGTAGACATTATTATCAAAATAGGCGAGTCAACCCGTACTGGCAAAACCTACTAAATTCAAATGCCTACTAAGAACTTAAATTACATGTATTTAGCAATGAACAAATATTTGAATGAATGTTCCAACATTCACCCCAGCCCAACTAATTATTATAGTGCTGTTTAATTATTTAAGTGTAGTATCATTGTTGTACCTCAACTACAGAAAAAGAGAAAAATGTGTCTAACAGCAATCAGCAAGTACTGATTTCATCTGAGGGGGAAATCAAAGTGAAGAAGGAGCAGAGGAGGTAAGGAATACACATTCTGTATTGATGTTTATTTTTGATATTAAATCCTTTCTATAACTTTGGCAAAATTGTTGAATAATAAACAAATACACAGGACAAAATAGGGAGGAAATAGCAAATGAGGTATTGAAGGATTATGACACTGTATAGTGTATATACTAGAAGAATGTAGAATATTGAGGGGATCACCCCCTTGCCATGTCCAGACATACATGTACATATGAAAAGTACTTCAACAATTGGGGTTTTGCCGAATAAAATTTTTTTGTAACTTATTAGGTAGATTTATAGTATTGCACAAGAGTTCGCTCTGACTGAGTTTTATTTTGGTGATTTGATACAGCAATCACATAATCATGGCTAACAAACATGCATGCTTAATTGTATGTGTAAATCTAATCAAAACTACCCAATAATGGCACTATTGATAAAACATGACAGCAGAGCAAATTAGTATAGTTGTATGTAACTATTAACATGTATTAACACTTTTAGGCAATAATAAAGAAATGTCGCAGCCATCTAAACACATGTATCCATATCATGAAAGATTTATCAAACCAATTTTAATAATAATATTCAGTTAAATTAATAGTAACTAATATTTAGTTAAATAATTAAAATATCCTAAGCTAAATGTTAAGTTTTTCCAGCTTACAGATAGTTCACAACAATAGACTCATCACAAGGCTGAATAGAAGCAAACCAGTCCATATCACAATCAACTGCTTCAAGATCAGTTGTGAAACAAAAACGAGCTTGAAACAAGACTTGGCTGTCTCCTTTTCTCTGCAAGAGAAAAATCAGCTTTATAAAAGCAATAGTATACTATTAATAACAATGACATGACAGCAATAGTGACACTACAGAATAAAAATAACAATAGTAGCATACTGTGCATTCGAAAGCTGGCAGCTTGTCGAAAACATTGAATTTTGCAAGGTTGTATTCATTAGAGTGGGTTACACCAGCACTGGATAGGGAACTGTCGATATTTAGAGTCTCAAACATTGTCAGAGCAGTAGTGAAGTATGCTATCATTGAATCTATCGTGGTCATGCTAGGAGCATTCATAGCACATGTGCCGTGCTTGCACCATTCATGTGACCTATAACAATAACAAAGAGGGAGTGGAAAAGGTGTGCAATTAAGGAAACCACATTCCACACTTTTATACAGTAAACACTTTCCTTACCAGAAGCTAGTGGAATCTCCACCATAAAGTGTCGGCCATTCTTGATTCATCTTTTGAGTGAGGTCCTGAGAAGGAGGAAACCTTATACCATCAATTCAACTCAATGTGAATACAATAACAATCCAATGAGCAGTGTCTCTCAACATATTACACAAACACATTAATAGTCATTTACACTATTGTATTAAACATACAGTCAAAGCAGACTCATCAAAGTGAGCTGAAGAGTTGCAACTATTGGGTCCCATTTGTCCCTTTTGTGATGGCCTGAAGATAAAGAAACACGTGGTATTAGTCTTGGCAACAAAAATGATTGATCACTCACCATAAGCCATGAATTGTCCAGCCATTAAAGTTAGAGGCATCACAATTGTGAAGCTAAAAGGTTATTGACTAATGATACACAAACAAAATCAATCATTACATTGCAGTATCCTTTAGCATTCTGTACTGTCAACTGAACATAGTCAATTTGTGGCCTAGCGATGCCACTGTGAAAGAGAGATATATATTAACAATTTAACATCAAAGGATCGGAACTCACGCTGACTTAGCACAACAAGTATTACAGTCTCCGTTAGACAGAGAGAGGAGGCAAGCCAAGATAAGGAGGAAGAGCTTCTCCATTTTTGTAAATAATTGCACGAGGTGTCAACTATCAACCACTGAGCATGAAGCGACCAACAAGCCACCAACGCAGAATGCCGCCAAAACCAGTGTTGCCAGATGGGTTTGGCCAATTGTTCACAAAATTTTGTCAAAAAGTTCATGTTTTCACAAAAAAGTTTATGTTTTCTCAAAATTTTGGAACGACAGGTTAATAACTACTGAATTAACATTAATAACTACTTACTTAACTTTAATAACCATAAATTAACTTTAATAACCAAGAAATAACTTTTGTAACTAGTTAATAACTATACCAATTTATTTTTATAACTTTAATAAGATGATGCTTATCACTGAAATCTTGCTGAAATGAACACTGATGTCTCATTTTGAGAGCTAAATCAATGCCTCAAACATTGAATTTTCAAAGTTTATAAAAGTCTCAAAAGTTCATGAAAAGTTCATGAAAAAAATTAGTTCATGAAAAGTTCATGCCAAGGCTGAAAAGTTCATAAATCTATGAACTTTGTTCATGATCTGGCAACCCTGAAAATACTTCCGGTCTTGAAGATAAGTATTAATTGAGCACGTACCTATCACATGTATTGCATGCATTCATGTTTAATCTTATTATTGAATTAACAAAGCTTAACAGAAATTAGAGAATGATAAAAAATGATTTGGTAATAACACTGTACATACATACATAATAATAATAATAATTTCCATTTCTCTCTCGTTAAGTGAGTGCACCTTGTTTTCTAATAAAGTTATAAGCTGCCTATGAGTGCAAGAATAAAATAATAACAAAAATCATTGATAATAATAACAAAATATTATACCTCATAAGTGACTAATGTATATTCATCAGCAGGTTCAGTGTAAGCAAAGTCAGTCAAATAATGAAGATAAGCTCCAAGATGAGAGAGACCAGCCTTTACCACAATAAACACAACTGATGGTAGCAATACATCACAAGACAACTGCTGGATCTATGAAATAAAAAAGGAGACACACAGTAACTTATGGCAGCTGTTTGATTGGTTTATAAAGTGATTGCATGCACAATCAAGTGAAAAATAACAAAATAATGTAGTATTATAATTCATGAAATCTATATCAATTCCTGTTAAAAATCAATTCCTGTTGAAAGTCTATAGGTTATGAGTGCATTAATACATACATTTGACAGCTGCTGAAATGCAACTCTGAAGAGGTCCAGAAATTCCCCAGGTGCATATAGTGTACTGCCAATACAAGTAAACCAAGAAGTGAAAGTTATTATACCCAAAATTATCACAACATACTTCATCCTTTGGAGTACAATAGCAGCATTCTCTAGATCCTAACAATATTGATAACAGTAAAAACAGTACACAGAGTTAATACAAACATAGCCTACCTCGAGAACAGTGTTGTCTTCTTTTCCCAAAATCTTCTTACATAAATTTCTAAAATAACAAATAAGTCCACCATAAAATTACAGTTAGTTAAACAACAGCTAATTTTACTGTGGAAAATGTATAAAATGAAGAAGTCTTTCGTCGTCCATTTGAGATAGAAAGTCTGTCCCTCTACTGTATTCCTTGTCATCATCAACATGATGCAATATGTATAGCATCTTCAGTGATGGATAGATACGCTGGAACACAAGTGGATGCAACAAAGTGTAGCCTATAAAACACAAAGTAATCATTCACAACCAGTAACATACAGCTATACTTTCCATGTACATGCACTTTACAAAAAGAATATAAAAGCAGTTTATAATTCATACAGTATGTACTCAGTATTGTGTACATTGTATGTGATCCTAGGCTTTCATTATATATTTTTAATATAAATAACCACAGGCTGTTTTTGGCTTCCCCTATGTATACTTGATATAGGCTTCTCTTTCATGAATACAATAATACTCATATTACCTGAGTTAATGCAGAGGTAGTCGTCAGGGTCTGCATCACCCAATCGAGTTAACCCAATAGCAGTCACGTCGTGATCAGAACCATCCAAAAAAGGGAACAGAATCCTATTAACAAATCCAATAGTGTGTAAACAGTGTCTGCTAATGCATCAAGCCTGTTACCTGACAATGCTGTGAAGTCGTTTGATGATATACTGTACTTCTGATATAGCGTGAGGCAGGAGGAACCTATTAGCACCAATGCCACCATAACTGTCTCTGAATACAGTCTCCAGCCTATTCATTAGTACCCCAAGAGGATGTGAAGGTGTATTAAAAGCCTACACGCATTACACAAGCACATTAGTATATTAAACTGCTTTGTATGAAGACCCTTACTTGATCAATGTACCTCTGTATAGCTCTATTAGTATCTGATAATACTAAACCAGCATTCTCACTATTTGAACTCTCTCCTTCATCGCTTCCATGCTCTGCGTGTTCCTCTACTAGTGAAGGGAGGGTGGTAGGAGGAGGAGGTGGACTGTAATCTGCATGAGGTGAATATGTCAGCCCTGGACCAACTGGTGGATAGGAACTAGCTATCTCTTCTTGTAAGTGTAATGGTCCACTGATCTTGATCTTATCCCCAGTCCTCAGTTTATGTGTATGCTCAATACTTAGTTGCATTAAAGATGCTTCAAGATCATCAAGTGTCCTACGCTGACTAGTAGCAGGGCTGCCTTCGTCTTCATTGCTGTCTTGAAAAGTCATGGCACGAGCTCTTTCAAGTGATATCAGTTCGCCGGGGGCCCTCACTGTTTTAGGAATAGTGCTAAGGGAGCTGGCTCTTCTCAGTGGTGCTAGTACAGGGGATCCACCCATAGGTGAGTTGGTAGGTGATTGATAGGTGTCAAAGGTCCCGGCAGCAATACGACTCCAAGCAGTGAGAACATCAGATGCAGCATTACCTGAAAATCCTAACATCTTCTCGCACTCCTCAAACAAAGACTGCCACTTGTTTGATGCTAGTACAGTACATGTACCAATTCGACCATCAAGCCTTGCTATCCTAGTAGGACAACAATAAATGATAAATAGTAGATTGAATATGACTGACTGTAGTTCAGAGAAGGAGTTTCTCCATGACTCTATTGCTTTCACACCAAAGGAGAGTCCTCTTTTCTTAGGATGAACAAGAGTGGCACGCTGTATGTCAATGTTAGTATGCCACGAACCACCAAAGTATCCTTCAATAGTGACACCATTACTCAGTGCTAGAGTTCCCTTTATAAAAGAGAGTGAAAGAAACAAAATGAAATTGACACTAACAGACAACAGGAACACAAGATACTAACAATGATTCAAATGAGAAGGAAGTAAGAGGCTACACCAATTTCTTTTTAAAATAAATATGTCACTTCATTGCTAAATTATGTATAACGTCAAATCAAGGGCTCTTTGTGAGGGTAAAAAAATAACCATTAATGCAACTACATGTACATGCAGTATTAGTGAAGTTCCCAATACAATTTTCGAACACTAATATACATGTAAACTGACTCACCTTTCCTGTCAGTTTGAAGTCTGGTCCTAGTTTACCCATGAAGGAGCTTCCATTAGGATCCAATATGAGACCATCATTACCACTCTAAATACATACATGCACATTAGTACAATGATGATGATTATTAGCTTACACCAATTGTTCCGTTAGTGAAGATGGCCTCACAGTAAGTACCTGTTGATGTTACCTGTATACCAGGGCCAGATCTCTGACCCTCAGACCACATTCCTAAATATCTCTCATGTCTGTCAAATAAATGAACACGAAAATGAATTAAAAATTTTGAAAAAAATAGAGCCCTTGGTTTTTCTAAAACTGGCTCTGAATTTTTATAACATTTTCCGAAACATAATGATGCACTTATGCTATGTACAAAGTTTGAGCTGATTCTGACTAGAATTTTTTATGTTACGGCCATTTTAAGAAAACACTAAATTCTGAAAAATACCCAAGGCTATAATAGCCTTGGGTATTAATTTTTTCAGAAAATGGCTTGAAAATCACCCCAAATTTTTATTGCATTTTCTGATACATATTGATGTCCTTATGCTGTGTAGAAAGTTTGAGCTGATTCCAACTTCAATTTTTCAAGTTATGGCTATTTTAAGAAAACACCAAAATTATCTTTCAAAAAAATGGCTCCGAAATTACCCCAAATTTTTATTGCATTTTCTGATACATATTGATGTCCTTATACTGTGTACAAAGTTTAAGCTGATTCCGACTTTAATTTTTCAAGTTAAGGCCATTTTAAGAAAATGTCAAAATTCTGAAAAATACCCAAGGCTATAGCCCATGGTTTTTTCCAAAAAAATGGCTCCGAAATCACCCCAAATTTTTATTGCATTTTCTGATACATATTGATGTCCTTATTCTGTGTAGCAAGTTTTAGGTGATTCCAACTTCAATTTTTCAAGTTACGGCTATTTTTTTAAAAATGCCAAAATTTTAAAAAATACCCAAGGCTATAGCCCATGGTTTTTTTCCAAATAACAGCTCGGAAATGACCCCAAATTTTTATTACATTTTCTGATACATATTGATGTCCTTATGCTGTGTACAAAGTTTGAGCTGTTTCCAACAAAAATTTTTCGAGTTATGGCCATTTTAAGAAAACAAGCCAATTCTTGAAAAAAAAGCAAAGGCAAAGTTTATTAACACGGTTTAATTAACTACATGTATGCCGCCACTTTTCTTATAATCTATTACTCTAGACTGTGCATAAGATTACTTACTTCAATCTGTCGTCATAGACTCCATACCCGTGTTGTTTATCAAGCAACCAGCCACCACAATAGGTAGAGTTCTTTCTAGAAGCTTCTTCAAGTCTACCAAACCCGTCCCTCTTGTCCTTAGACCAGTGACCATCATACACATCACCATTCGAGTACCTATTATCAATAAAAAATATAGTTAATAATAATTCTTAGTTGTACATGTACATGTACATGTAGCTACATGCACATTAGTTATAATTTTAATAGAACAGCTCAAACTTGATACATAACACACATGTATTAATGTATACATATCATACAATGAAGAAATCAACTAGCATTTTTCTATAGCTAAATTTTTAAGTTTATGTAATCGATCAGAATCAACTTAAAACTTGATACATAATATAAAACAAATGGAGACTTCCTTTCTTGCATAACTACATGTACTGTACAACAGGGCATCATTTAGCAAGTGGGGACTAGGGAATGGCAAAGTGTTACAAAACTAAGTGCAAAATTAATATCAATTAGCAAAATCAATATTTCTGATTATTGACAAATATTACACATACATGTATTGCTATTATTGTAATCACTACTATTCCCCATGTCTGCTCAAGGCAAGAGGGAAGATTAAGAAGTGAGTGAGTCCTGCATTATGGTCACTCAATCAGTTAACAATTAGTTAGCAAACAAAACAGCTACAGTAATGGAGCATGGGATCATTGTCCTCTCTTGGGTAATATCGATATCCTTTGTTTACAAAATGGGGACAAAGCTCCATGGGTTGTTCCAAAAAGTTATCAGTGACTCGTGTGAGCTCTATTTGTATACCTGTCTTTTAACCATGTTGCATAGGAAAATAAAAGTGCTTTAGTAGCTAATCCACCCATTGACCATACATGTGCATTGTCCTGTACATGAGGAGGAGGAGACCACAACAAATGAAATGGGACACATGTACATGTACATAATGTTTTCAAGCAGACAGCATAAGAACATGCTTACATGTACATGTATCAAAACATAAAATTAAAATGTAGAATTCTCTCTCCTAGCCATTTTTGACAAAATACCTAGTACATTGTCTTTTGTCCTGATTATAGAGCAAATTTAATTTTCAATTTTGATCAGAAAAACCTCAAACTTTCCACACAATATAAAAACAAGAAAAATGAAAAAGGTTCCACAATTTAATACACTAACAGGTACAGAACAATTGATTCAAATTCAATGAATGATGATATGAAATTTGCAATGTAAATAATAAAACCAAACACTATAAATTATGTCTCTTACTTCATTTCCCCTTGACCCTCCATTAGTCCGTTATAAAAGTCTCCAATGTATTTCTTGCGATACTCGCTGTCGGCAAACCACAACAGTTCACCTTTGCCATGAAACTTTCCTTTTCTGAAGTTTCCTTTATAAAGTTTCCCACTGGGCTCATGCCAAAACTCACCACTACAGAACAAAAAATACAACAAATAACAATTGTGCAATGTACAGTAAATGCATAGCATGTGTAAAATAATTCACTAATAATTTTTTACTATGATCCTTTACTGGTCAGTTCCTGTTATATCTAAAGTTAGCATTATTTTTTGGCACATCAAATATAGCAACATAAAATTCACTGTTAGATCTATTATGGAGTTTTGGAGACTTTTGGTCTCCCATACTTGGTCTAGGTAAAATGTTCCATTTTAGGTTTATACATGTACTCTGTCATATTTAGCTCTCCTAAAATCTCATAGTTTAGTTGGATTGGTCTCCCAAAAATTATTTCCAGATCTAGCAAGACAACACCCAAGAGTACAGAAATTTTGATTGAATGCACTTAAAAAAAATAAAGTTTTCTCTCTCTCTCTCTCTCTCTCTCCCTCAAAAGCTCACTCAAGTCTGACTAACTAACCTTCCGTGTGGTTTAGCATTCAGCCACTGTCCCTTGTAGCGAACGTCCTTCATTTCCAGTAAAGATTGAAAGGTGTATTGCATAAAGTCCCGACTCCTAATCAACTGGAGTTTGGTATCAAGCGTAAGGTCACTGTGGATAAAACAAATCATTTGTTAGTGAACAGGAACAAAATAAATTAGGAGAAAAGGTACAAGCCAAAACCAACACTTGACAACAACAGATATCTGCTGACGACAAATATAGAACATATTTAAGTGTAGCTGTGATGTACATGTACATGTACATGTACATGTAGGACTTAGTGCAACTTTCTTTACTAAAAACAACATGTACAGTTTTTATAATCACAGACTAGGTACTGAGATAACATTTTCACTACTTAGCTTTAATTTCAGTGTTATTTAAGGATAGTGCAAAGTAAATGAGTGAATGCACAATATAACTTGTTACAAAATGCATTACATTGAATGATTGCTGTTTGTTTATAAAAGGTAGGTCACGTAACAGGAAACACTTATCATAAGGCTGTGACATTATTTAGAGACTAATATAAAATAGCCCTAAGCTACATGTAGATATACTGTACATGAGTATTGAGTAGAGAATACATTATTGTTATATGCCAGAGTTTCAGTTTTTGTGTAAATAAAATATGAATAGTAAAAGTGAGGAGGTAACATAAGTATAATGTAATTTCTAGTCTAAAAGTCATGGCAGCCATTTTGAAGTGGGGTGAATCCTACTTAGTAACGCTGCCGCGTTACTAATACTATGACAGAGCAATCTACTTCCTAAAACAGTGAAGACTAGTCTTTTTGAATGATTTATGCTGAGGGTCTTTTGAAATAGCACCCTTTTGTATTGATTAAATCGTAATAATTTTTATTTCCATTATATTTCACCCATAATGTATGACAGCAATAGAAATGACGTCACAAAAAGTTTAAGGCAATTGGCAATCTAATCGTAACTTCCATAACATTTCCAGTATAATCGTAATCATTGCATTTAAACACAATCAGTAATCACAACAACCCAGTCTATAGTACAGTAATTCAGTCAATTCAAAATTGAAATTGTAGCTGATGATTACAATAAATACAAACAACTATCACAGGCCCTCTACCATATAAAACATAATCTTATCAAAATTGAAAAGTGCCTGTTTTAGTAATACATTCCATGACTATAGTGAGTTGATATTATGCTGATCACAAAGATAAAATAGTAGTATTATAGTAACTTACCCTCTACCAGAAATGACCTGTGAAACTTGTAGATCTTGGCAGATAGCATCAACAATAGTGCTGACCCATATAGACTAGAAATACATAATTATACAATAATTATAATAATATACAATCAATGGAAGAGTAAGTAGTCATTACTTTGTGAATGAATTCCTTACACTGCAAATCTAAGTGTGTCTCGGGTAATATTAGCCTAAATGATGTCCTGTAAGATACAAAGAGACGGTGGATTACTAGAAGATGATGATGTTCATGCCTTGTCTAACTTTACTTTATATACTCCAGCACACAAGCTGTCAACATTGTGTCAGCTACCATTTATATACAGAGGAGTTTATAATGGAAGCACAGCAACATTAATAATTTTGCTTTTTCAGAAAGTATGCATAGGATTAGATTAAAATAAGGTTGGTCACTCGTAATTGCTTTAAGGAGATGCTTAAAACAAAGTGTTGATTTCTAAGAGCTAGCATACATGTAACTATATTTGCTACAATTTAAATACACGTACATGTATAACCAGTTAACCACCTGTTTATCCTCTTTCCCTCTCTCTTCCCTTCTTCTCTTCCCTCTTTCAATCTTACTATTAACACAGCATACATATACATGTAGGCATCGTTTTCCTAATAATTACAGTACATGTAAATTACAAAGCACTTTATGAGTAAAAATCAGATTCGAACAATGATTTTATGTAAAAAAAAACTATCATTTAAATGTGACATGTACATATAAGATGTATGTACATTTACATTATCACTTACATGGATTGAGAGCTCTGGTTGAGTGCATTAGCTGTAATAACGTGTTGAACCCAGAGCCATTGTAATGGATATTCTGCAAGTACAACTCCCTATGATAGAACAAAATGAGAGATCATTATAAAAGCTGTTGGCTAAAATAGAGATTCCAAGTGTCATCACAGTGCCTGTCAATATAAAAATGGCAGTTACTGCAGCATGCTGCCTAGTGTAATTTTTGGCTTCATTGGGTTGTTATGCATAATGCAATGTCAATATTTCATCAGCTAACCTGCAAAACGGCAAAAACGTCATTGAAGAGATAATACTTAGGAAGAGATTTAATACGGCTAGCATAGACTGGTAATAGAGATATCTTATCACTGGAAAGAAGGAGCTGGCGTTCTGGTTTGTACAAAGCTGTCTGCTTAGAGAATAATAATGAAAGACACAAGGAGGAATTAATGTTAGTGACCTTCACTTTAGCTGGGAGAGTATCCCAGAGTAACTCTGTCTCTTTCCTCGTCCTTCCAACGATTGCCATCACAATATTATAGATCCTGCCCTCGAGTGAAGACACACAGTATAAAGTGAAGAGGAATCATGTGAACATCTAGCAGCATGAGATCGAGATGCCCCTCCCGGTCCCTTCCCTGATCAGATCAAATCACGTGATCCAATTGATTTTGGGTGGTGTCTCTTCTTCAGTTATTTGTGGGAGGTGTCGTCTTGAGGGTTTAGCTAGCTAGCCGATACTGGAGAAACCAGCAGAGAGAGGTCAGAAGATGTATCTCTTGTTATTAAATGATGTGTGAATCTCTTTTATTGTACCTCAGGCTATGGGTAACTGCTGCTCCTTGGGAAGTGATCCCCCTCCTCCTCCTAGTCCTCCTCCAGAATTAACAAACTCTCACAACACAGCACCAGCTGCTCCTATGATGATACCTCCTGATACTCCTCCAATCTTAGCCACTCAAGAGTTGGACCCTACAGCTATTAGTCAGACGTTAGACCACATTTCTGACCGCGAAGGTGTGTACGTGTATATATATATATACTGATTATAAAACTATTGAATTGACTTTTGATTCTAATTTGGTTTAGTTTTTGTTGGTAGTTTTTCTATTTATTTCGATAAAATATGCATCACATTATATCAAAATGTACTCTTGATTCCATGCATGAGTAGCATTTATATGTGTAATTACTTAATTATTTAATTGTTTTAAATTCTTTCTTTTTATTAGACAATTCTAATAAAGATGAGACAATGTTCTTAAAGTTGTCCCATGCCGCCATGAAAATGATGAAAACAGGTTTGTTTGTTTGTTTATTTTTCCTTGTGTATATATGATATCCACTTTTGTTCCTTTGCCAGGACGCCATCGACACAGTAGCGTAAGAATGCTAGCCTCTCCCTCATCCAAAGTAAAATATTATAAATAATACCGTAAAATGAAATTCTGTTGCGAATGCTTTTTTAAAATTGTGTTAGGATTCTCCACTGGTCATAAAGAAATCTAATTCATGCTCTACAATCTATACTGATGATAGCACTGTTAGTTTACCTGACCTCAAGTTCACTCTAAAGTGGTTAGTTAATTTGTCCTTATTCAATTCATAGTACAATTCATGAGCACACTAAAATTCCTGATCTTTCCTTCCTTCCTCTTTCTCTTACTTCTTCACATATCTTTTTCTTTTTTTTCTCATAATAATACACATATAGTGCTTCATTAGCCGTCTTCTACATCGTGAAAGGAAGGTTAGTTATATTGAATATTAGTCATTCTTTATCATAATGATTGCGACATCTCTAGACCTAGAGACAGACCTCCAAAGACGCTAGACATTTTTGATGAAAAGCTCCACCCGTTAACTGTGAGCCCTCTCGTTGCATTGTATCATATATACATTCACTACATATTGTATTATCAATTTCCCCTTCCAGCGTGATCCTGTACCTGATCATTATGCTGATTTCACTCCTGACCATAAACTGATATACAAATTCATCAAAACTCTTTTTCATGCAGCACAGCTCACATCTGAATGTGCCATTATCACTATTGTGAGTTATGATATCATGTACATTAGATACTGTATAGTGTTTCATTTTATTACTATAAATATGTACATAGATTTATTTGGAGAGACTCTTGCAATACAGTGAACTAGATCTTCATCCTTGTAACTGGAAGCGCATCCTTCTTGGAGCTATTCTACTTGCCTCCAAAGTCTGGGATGATCAAGCTGGTAAGCTCATTAAGTTTATCAATAACAATAATACTAATAGAACACTCTTAATGTAAAGACAGTTACTATTATAGTACACTAGCAGGAAGCTTATTGTGTGTTTAAACTCACAACATAACCTTCCTTAACAAAACAAACAAATATGGACTACACTAGACACTTTTGTTTCTTTGACTACCTCACACTGATACACAAGAGTAGATAATGTTGAATGAATTATGAATGTAATTACTATCACTACTAATCTCTCTAGTGTGGAATGTTGATTACTGTCAGATCTTACGTGAAATCACTGTTGAAGATATGTAAGATATGATACTAGTTGTCATTTTCCTTCTAATTAAATTTTTTTGCTTCTTCATAGGAATGAACTAGAGAGAGTCTACTTAGAGCAAATTCAGTTTAATATCAATGTAGCTGCCAAAATGTATGCAAAGTACTATTTTGATTTGAGAACGTTGTCAGAAGAAAATGGACTGACATTTCCAAATGAATATTTACCATTAACGAAAGAGAGAGCGCTGAAAATTGAGGTACAGTAATAATATTTGTGAATAGTAATGATAATTAATTTTCATATTATTTTTGTATAGGCTCTATCTCATGCAGCTGATAATAAGGTAGTTCCTGGGAGAAGAGTACGTCGATCGCAAAGTTTAGAACAAATTTCACCCAAAAATACATTAATTTTGAGCTAGAGGATAATAATAATACCGCTATTTTTTTTTATTTTTTTCATTTTGCTATACATGCTCGTATCTACATGAAGTGGTATGTTTTAATTTTTGTTTTAATTGAGCAATTTATCTCTTTTGCTGTTCTTTGCTATTTCTATCCTTCTCTCTTTCTCTCTCTCTCTGCTTCTTTTGCTCTATCAATTATCTTTATACTTTTTTTATGTTTTAACGACAATATTGTTCATATTAATCCTGACTAGCTGTTGGCTGTTGTATATTATCAACTATTTGAGTGTTCACTTCTTCTATAGCTTTCTTTATTGCTTCCTGAGAGTCTGTATCATCAAGAACCTCTGCTAATGTCAGACAATTCTTAAAACATGATAAACCATGAGGTAGGTTTCCAAGTTTAACTATAATAATAATGTATTATAAAAATGGCAGTGACATTATTATGAAAGGAATGTTGTTTACCTTCAGTTTGTGCAATTAGCATGCTTGCATTTAGTTGCCAGAACTGGTCGTGGCTCTCTTCAGCAGCTTTTAATGACTTTTCTCCGTTTTCCTTTGCTTCAGTGTAGTTCCCTGCTTCCCAATAGCATCGACCAATTTCATGGAACAGCCATGCACTCTCTTCTGACGTTTTTAGGAGAGGAACACGCTTTAACCAACTAAAGAATTGTATTCAAATAAGTTGAATTTGTATTAATACTAACTCACAATTGAATTCCTTCCTCATATTTTCCCATGATGGAGTAAACACGTCCAAGATTATACAATGATCTGCCTAATGCATCGTCATATCCTCTGTAATGAAAACATTAATTAAAAGAACACTGTGACAGGCTTTCTTACTCCTCTTCTGCAATTTTCATGTCTTTTTGAAAGTGCTCCAGAGCTTGATCGGTCTGTCCCAGCTCCAAGTATGCATTCCCAAGGCTGGAATGTAGCGTAGCAATGAACTGGTTCCTATTTGGAAGGTCAGCATCAGTTAAGGACATCACTGTCATCATAGTCTGCTCTGCTTCGGACAAACTTTTTTCAGCATCACCATTGGCCAGGCCTACAAGGTGATTTTATATAGGTATGCAAAAAATATTAATTTCCTACTGACTGTTGTCTATATCTTCAAGAGCTTTCAAAACAAACTTGGTATGATCAGAAAACTGATCTTTCCCTGATTTGGCATGCCTAGAACCAGGATTCAGTGGCCTTGTTGGAGGCGGCTTCCATCTTCTCAGTATCTTTTCTCTCTTTCTGGTATACATTGGTTTCTGTTGCCTCCAGAACTCAGCACGAGAATCCAAATATGTCACACCCTCGTTAATCAAAGTGTAAATGCTGCTATCATTTTTGCCTATTTCTTGAAAGATATAAAGCAAAAAAATCCACAAAAAAATTTACTTGAATCTTTGGATAGCCTTTCCAAATATTCACGATCAGCATATAGTTCTCCTAAAAGCTATTTTAAAATGTTAAATTAAATTCTTCATTCATGCACATAATTTGTACCTCTTTCATTGTCTTTTCTGATGCAACTGGCCCTTGCTTTGCTTTGATTTGATGATGGGCTGCTTTTTGAGTTTTGGCTTGCTTTTTCTTTCCCTGTTAATAGAACTACATGTAAATAACCACTTTTACATCACTAAAAAATAATACTAAGTTATATAATTAATCCATTACACTATGATGCTTGTGAACATTAATGTATGCATCATAAAAGAATTAAGAAAATAATTTAAATGCTCATTTAACATGATTTTGATAATGAATTGAAAAATTATGATTGTACCACTGTATCTTGCTGTTTAAAGAAAGAGAGATCACCAGTCTTATCTAGCTTGCATGCTTCTGGTGCTAAGAGAGAGAGAGATAATGCTGCCATAAAAAATTAATGACTAACTTCCAATTGAGTTGGAAATAGCTTCTTGAGCTTTTTGTATTCCTAGCTTAAACTCGTTAAGGTCTGGTCGGATTTTACTGCCACGATGATAAAACATCAAAGCATGTTCAAAATCTCCCATTCTATACAATGTCTCAGCCTTTCTATAAAGACCCTAATAATAATGGTAATGATAATAAATAGAAAATGATAGATAAATAAATGTGGAAAACTAACTCCATGATATTTGCTGTCCTCTTTTAATGATGTTTCTGCATCTTTTAGTGCTGCTGCAGTATCTCCCAGTTGAAGGTAGCACTTGGAGCGGGAAACAAGACAAGCCCTATCTTCTGGTTGGAATTCAAGAGCCTAAACAAAGTATTGGTATAAAACACTTGTTGACTGGCTCAAAAGAACTTTTTCAGCCATCATACTTTAGAAAAAGACTCTATAGCCTTTGCATATTCTCCTTGTTTAGCTAGACTGTCTCCTTCTGCAAAGAATATGGCGTAGGAGCCAGCCAATTGCTCTCCTTCTTCTTCATACATCTCCTGTATTGTTGCTATAGTAACTCAAAAGAGGCGGAGCATTATGATATGTGGGTGTGGCTAGAATATTTTGTAGGTGTGGCTGAAAAATCATGGCAGTTGAGCAGTCACTTTCTCGGGCCCTTGCTTCTTTCCAGTGGCCCTGGCAGTACGAGTTCCCGCCTTTCTTCACTCTACAGACAAACCTGGATACTAGGAATAAGCAGATGGACGCTTGGTGTGATTTAACGCTAGCATATTACCGTCACATAAAAGCATTTACAATGGACGTCAACGAGGCACAGTCCTCACCTTTATTCAATAACTCCAAAGCAAATCGTAAGAGACACTTAATATTACAAATTTATTGTGTCAAAGTGATTTTATTATGCATGCGCCTAATACAAACACACCATATGTTTACATGCAGAAATGTTTGAACAGTTTGATGCCTTTTCTCTTCACTTTTCTCTCTGTTGTGAGCTGCTAACATTATAGACCAGTTGGTGCTAAGTAATTCATAGAATTTTAAGTATATTCATCGTGATGCCGTAAATAAAGTAAAATTTTCCTACCGCCATTTTGGAGTCCTACTTCCAATGGTTGTCTATGAAGCGATCGTGAAAAGAGCTTATTCTCCAAAAACTGTTGTATTTATTCGTTAAAGCAATATTGCTACTGCTTACTGACCATCATCCAGTGTCTAGAGTTGGCTCATGGACTTTAATAAGTGCCACTAGAAGATATAGAAGCAAAGATATGACTTTCTCCCATTCTACTCTTAGTAACTAAGACTCCAAAATGGCGGCAGGAAAATTTTACTTTATTTACGGTATCACAATGAATATACTTAAAATTCTATGAATATACTTAGCGCCAACTGGTCTATATTTAGCTGCTATGACACTTTTTATTTGTGCTGTATTCTCAGTACTTCATCCTATTCACATTTTTAAGATGCTTGTAAATTTGTTTTAGCACCTTGTTGACACTTTGAGGTGTTAACAAGGTGTGAAATATCATTTTTAAAATGTAATTTTAATATTCTTGGTCACTAATTGTAGCAACCTATGCAGGCAATAATTGAACATAATGTGAATTAGTTCCTCCTGCTATGTACTATGAACTATGCCCAATGTTGTAATGTTTCTTTTATCATAATACCTATTAATAGTACTCACTGTGTGTGTAAATGAGATTCATCATTTACTGTTGTCATTTAGGTAAACTTTCAGTTGATTTCATTCGTCTAATACTAGACACTTTAGAAAAGAGAGGTGAGTACCATCAAACTTATTTTGATACAGAAAATTATATTTATCTTTAATAGGTAATGTAGAATGGCAGGATACTTCAAAGAGTCGATGCTTAATAATGTGGCGATCACCACAGGAATGGGGCCAATTAATATATCAATGGGTAAGCCTGTAAATTTTATAGTTGCACTCTATATCTTGAAAAACCATGGGCTATAGCCTTTACTTTTTTTAAAAAATTGGCTCATTTTTTAAAATGCTAATAACTCAAAAATTATTTGTTGGAAACAGCTCAAAATCTTTACATAGCATAAGGGACATGTATCAAAAAATGTCATAAAAATTGGGGTGACTTTGGAGCCATTTTTTGAAAACCATGGGCTGACTATTATGATAAATTTTTTCATTATTCTTTTTCATAGGCATGCGATCAAGGTTTAGGTAGTAGTGTGTGTACTTTATATGAGATTCATTCAGGAGAGTATGCTACAGAGCAAGAGTTCTATAACATGGAGCCATGGATGGTAAAGAAAGCAATAGTAGCTCTAGCAAGGGAAGGAAAGGCAGAGTATATACCTGGAACTGCTCCTGATGACTCTGATGCTGGAGTCAAGTTTTTTACATGACAATATTAATAATTATTATTTGTTATAGTTAAATTATCCATAGTCTATAATTAAACAGTATTATATAGCATCAATTGTATTGACATATTAATTAATTGATGGTTGACTATCTACTGCATGCCAAACACTTCATAATCTTCTACTGTGAAATATTTTTTCCCGGCGAGAAAGTCATTATCAATGTTTTGATCTTTGCCATAAGATGAAGGGAAGTTGCAGTAAGACTCTTCATTTATGTGGCAATTATTACTGATACATAAATCAGCTCCAGAGCCAAATACAGGACCGCTCCTATGAAAAAACAATGAACATTTACATAAAGGGAACAATAATCTAACCACAAAAAATCTACATGGCGATATGTATCAGAACATGTAATAAAAATTTGGGTTGATTTCAGAGCTTTTTTCAAAAAAAACCATGGCCTTTGCTTCTTTTCCAAATTGGCTCATTTTTAAATGCTCATAACTTGAAAAATAATCGTCGGAATCAGCTTAAACTTTCTACATAGCATAAGGACATCAATATGTATCAAAAAAATTGGGGTGACTTCAAGGCCGTTTTTTGAAAAGAACCATGGACTATATATAATTCATAAATTTTTTCAAAATTTTGGCGTTTTCTTAAAATGGCCATAACTTTAAAAATTAAAGTCGGAATCAGCTCAAACATTCTACACAGCATAAGGACATCAGTATATCAAAAAAGTAATAAAAAGTTGGGGTGATTTTGGAGCCATTTTTTCGGAAAAAAAATCTTAGGCTATAGCCTTGGATAGTTTTCAGAATTTTTACGTTTTCTTAAAATTGCTGTAACTTGAAAAATTGAAGTCGGAATCAGCTCAAACTTTCTACACAGCATAAGGACATCAATATGTATCAGAAAATGTAATAAAAATTTGGGGTGATTTCGGAGCCATTTTTTGGAAAAAAGCATGGGCTATAGCCTTGTGTATTTTTCAGAATTTTGACGTTTTCTTAAAATGGCCGTAACTTGAAAAATTGAAGTCGGAATCAACTCAAACTTTCTACACAGCATAAGGACATCAATATGTATCAGAAAATGTAATAAAAATTTGAGGTGACTTCGGAGCCATTTTTTGGAAAAATTAAACCATGGGCTATAGCCTTGGGTATTTTTTCAAAATTTTGGCATTTTTTAAATGGCTGTAACTCAAAAAATTGAAGTCGGAATCAGCTCAAACTTTCTACACAGCATAAGGACATCAACATGTATCAAAAAATGTAATAAAAATTTGGGGTAATTTTGGACCCATTTTTTGGAAAAAACGATGGGCTACAGCCATTGCTACAATTGTTCCTCATCACTTACTGTGGATGATTATTGATTGCATAGCTTGGCTGCTGGATTGGAAATTGAAGTGGAGGTGTGTTCAAGAAAGGATTAACAAGAGAGAATAGGAATGCCTTATAAGAGGAGGAATATCTTCCTCTTTTAAACTGATTAGTCCACGAAACATCAGAATAGCCTCCAAACACATGACCTGTTGAAGACTAAGAAAATGTAATATCAATTGTACTGAGCTGAATAGTTACTTGTATCAAAACAATGGTAGGGTTATGTCCATCGCAATGACTATGGAACTGGTAAGCACTGTAGCCATCACGAGATCCTCTATATAAGAGGCTCCACTTCTCCTGCTTCTTGTTTTCACACCTACAAAGATGAAAAATAAATCATTAAGTTCGCCCACACTTGAGTAGGTGAGCATTAGCAATTGACAACAGTGAGTTGCTTTGAACTGCATTAAAATCATATACATAATAAATATAATCATTTACCATTTGTCGAGCTGAGCTTGCAAATCCATTCGGCCGGTTAGAATAAGTGAGTCGGGAAAAATGGATTCATCCTGAGAGTTTTCGACCCAAGAATATCTTATGATGGAAAGATAGTGAGACATTATGTTGACATTCCAACACAACATGCATCAACTATGTGACACGGACTGTGTTCTCAAGGGATAAAATATTTGACTTCATCACTCTTGGTTTCAGAGAGTGATGATAGTACAATTATTTAATTCACACCTACCCAATTAACGGCTATCAACTAGTAAAGTGAATATTATGACATGGTTGCTTATTCTCAAACAATCGATGCGATGTTGTTTTATGCTAGAATTCACAAATCCAGTATGAGTAAATCTCTGTCTACTGAATCATGAAATAGCTACCGTTTAAGGCATTCACAATGGTATGGGTGGGTGCATAGTGCAAGAAGCTAAAATAATAATGGCACTATTTGTAGTAGCAATTAAACAAGATTCAATGCTCAAATGTGATTTGCATTAATTCAATCAGTCCCTACCTCTCCAGCATCCCGTATATACCATCAGAGATAGTGTCTGGGCTCAAACGACCATCTGCCACATGAATGTGCTTCACCACTTCATCAATATATTCTCTCACTTGCTCTCGCTCGTCTTCTGTCCAATCGGATTGTAGTTGCTTTGATGCTCCGACTTGGTAGCGAGCCCAGCGTAGCAGAGCTTTTAATATCTCATCAGTACTGACTCTAAGCTGTTAATATTAATATATCAATCATACTTATGCAACTAGTCTTACTTTTGCTGACACTAGTATTATCATTACTTCTTGCGACATTTCAAGGAAACTCTCTGAGCTCAAAATATCAGAATTGTGCTTGATGGCAAACTGCAAACAGATATTAATGACGGCCCACATGCTGTGAACGAGGCTCTCTTCCGTATTATTGAACGAGATGTTTTCATGAGCTATAGTAATGAGTTTACATACAGTGTCTGATGTTAAGAGTGATTCCAGACACTGTACAATGTATGACTGGAGACAAGGAAGGCCTAACTTGTAACATATATTAAGCAAAGGGCAAACCTCAATGACATCAGTGATAGTAAACTGCAATGAAAATAGAATATAATTTATACAGATTAGAAGTATAGGCATGAAGACTTACTTCTGCTGTGTAGAGGTATTGTCTGACTTTCTTCATCGCTCCAGCGTCTAGTTGTGGAAGGTCTAGCTCGTTCCCCTCTAGTTTGGCTCCACGGAATTTGTCACAGCGAGCCTGCAGTATCATTTTGTGGACGGGGAGCTTGTCGCGATTGGCTCCTATCAACAAGACCAGGTCTTTACTCTTGTCATCGTTGAGCATAACCCGCCAGTCCTCTTGTAAGGAGCTGAGGAAAGTACGGGACTGCTTGATCGAGTCCTTGCTCATGACAGCAGACTAAATAGACCCAGTTCTGGTACAGTCTTACTATGATGAAGATGCTAAATAAGCAAAGAAATTCCTAGGAATGTTGTTAGCACAGCCCAGTTGCATTCCTGAGACAGGCTACAATTATTTTATTGATTTGAAACATTAAAAAGTTCAGTAAACATATACTCCAGTTCTCTTTCCCTCAAGTACTCGCGAAACTGTCCCAAGTCCATGTGGTTTGACCGCTGTCCGTGAGTATCAAAAAAAAGCTCTTGGAAACCGACAATTTTCCTCTCTTGCTCAATACTTCCAGCATTCTTGACAGTCTCTCTCTTTCTACAGGTGATACTCTTCCAGTTCCACCTCCTCAATATATCATAAAACTCTTTAGTTTGACTGGAGTCTCCTTCTATACAAACGACACCAGGTTTACCCGGTAAACAAAAACCGGTCAGTTTAAGATCACTGGCCAGAGATAAAATGTTCCTCCTTTTTGTCTTGCTGTATATGTGATGCATGTACAGCCACATACGGCAAAACTCATTCGATTCAGAGTTCACATGCTTTTCTGTTTGCTGCAAAGGAGGAGGAGGGGCAGTGTAGTAGCTGGGGGCTTTCTCACGAGCCCAATCAATAACTGACAGGAGACAAGCATCACCCAACACAAGCTCAGTTGACATATAAGCCTGCAAGTCCTTGTTAAAGTCATCTTGTCCGGTACGACTAAGACCATCAGAATGAATATGAACTTGAGGGAGCTGAGAACTAGGATAGGAGCAAGAGAGACGACAGTTTATTTCTATATCAAACTCATGCTCATTAATCAGAGTAGCAGTAGTAGAAGGAGCAGTGCTATTCTCTATTGTTAGGTGGATAGTGCACTCTACATTGTTTGGGTGATCACTGTGAGCTTCTTTTACGTATCTCTTCAATGCAGTGTAGGCGCTCCAGTCTTCAATAATAAACTCTCCTGGCTCTGAGTAAATGGATTCTAGAGTGTCCAGTTCGTCCAGCTGTTGCTCTAAGTTGCTTCTAGTACAATCAGCAATCTCTTGAGCTGTCGCCATTTTATTCTTAATTGCTAGGAACACGCCTACTGAAGGGCAATAATAATAATAATAATAATAATAATAATAATAATAATAATAATAATTAGCTCTAATTAGTTCTTGTTTTTTGGGTTTATAATAATAATAATAATAGAATAAATTGAAAAATTTACAATAAAAATTAAAGCTATAATAAATAATTTTCATTGTTTTGAGTGTTTCCAATCAATTATTTTTTGGCGTAGCTCATCGTTAGGCTGTAGCATCTCAACTGTGAGTGGATGTCGATTAAAAGGATCATTTTGATCACTAGAAAAGTAATTAAAAAAAACAATAACATCAATACAGCATTCAATAGTTATGGACATGCAAATAAGTAAGGCAAACTGTACCGTACAGCCAGTTAATTTTGTGAAAAAAATCAATAAAAATAACTCGATTTGTAGATGAAAATAATTGTTACAATTTTTTGACAGCAATTGTACAATTGTACTGAGGCCATGCATTATTCTATGCAGATTTAAATTTTGCATTTTGGATGCATCCACAAACTTGCAAAATTTAATTCTCCACAAATATATCCAGCTGTACAATTTATTTTAAACTGAACCCTTCACTTTGGCTCCACTCTTAAATTTTTTTCATTTAATTGCAACCAGCAAAATTGTTTTAAAAATGTAAAATCAAAATCTGGAGTTACAAATATTTAATTTACCTCAATAAATGACGCATGATGACAGTTCTATCAACAACATTACCGGAAGTAGGCAATGTGACCGGGTCATTCATAATGGTCCCCATTAATGGATCCAGGAATTCATCTGGTGCCTATTCAAAGGAGTTGAGAGGTCAAACAGAACAAGTGTAGGTATGTCTTCCTTACATCACTAGTGAGTTTCTCTTCGGCGTCCATCTCTGCTTGATACTTAGCAACAATATGTCTCATTCTAACTAACCCATCACACAATTCATAGGGAAGATTCAAACGCCTAGAAAATAAATAAATAAATAAAATAATACTAATACAAATTAATATTGTTTGGAGAATTTTTGTTGAAAAATAATTTTCATTTTATTTGGAGAAAAATAACAAATTTATGGTGACATTTTAATACTAATACAATCATTCAAGCACATTCTGACACTCAAGTCTCTATACATAAACAGATTAATAAACACAACAACAGTATTGGTGATGCCAAAACAAGAGCTTTGATCATCACAAATTAATCTTATAATGTACATCTGGTAAATGAATTAAAATTTATAATAATTGCTTTAATGGCTACCGCTACACATTAATGGAGAATGGAATAGTGACAGAGAGTCTCGTAAATTCATTAGTAATAATAAGTACAGCGTATATTAGTGTGTTAATAATAATAATTATTATTGTTAATTTATTATGCTAGAATGTGTATATACACCTACATGTACATACTACCGTATACTGGGATATTTTCCCATCGCTAAATTTTCGCGAAACTTGCATTTGTAGGATTTCACAAAATAATATTTTTTGCAAATAGCTTGTAAACTCTACCACGTGGCAATGGAAATTCAGAATATCATGATTTTTATTTTCGCGATGGAGCAAGAAAATGCGAAATCTGCGAAAATTTGGCTACTAGAAAATTTCCCAGTATATGGTATAATGCTATTTTAATTCCTTTTAAGTATGATGACAGCATAAAATGCATTAAGTACAGAAAAGAAGCAAAACAAGGAAATGGGGAGAGTAACTGAAGTGCTTTGTGCTTCAAGATTGAGTCACACTTTACATTATGACCAAAAGGCACCAAACATCCAATAGATAAAGATTCCCCAAGACTTGCATTCACATACATAATTTAATGATTGTAATGTGTTTGTAAATTGTAGCCATGTGTGTGTGGGTGTATATGTGTGCATATATACATGTCTGTGTCTGAATTAGCCTCATAGCTTCAAAGGAATTACCACAAGTCCCTAACCAAAAAGCCACAATGCTCAATAGTGTACATGTACTTGTACAAGTAGGGTGGACCATGAATGTAGTAAACTGGGCTCTACTTAAGAATGCCATAAACATTGAGGACAGGATTACAAACTTGTACTATGCAGGAAACATGACACAGACATACAGTACATATCATAAACCTATCGTTGCTTGTCATGCTGATACTGTGTCATTTGATGATTGTTTACGAGATCAAGTATTTTTGTTATGAAATATTGAGGTTTTGTTTCAGCAATAAATTAATAAGTGAAAAAAATTAATTTAATATTAAAATTCAATTATCTGTCACAATGTTATGGTTAAGATGCTCATACAATGAAGAGAGAGAGAGAGAGGGAGGGAGGGAGGGAGGGAGGGAGAGGGAGGGAGGGAGAGACAGAGAGACAGAGAGACAGAGAGAGAGAGAGAAAGAGAGAAAGAGAGACAGACAGACAGAGACAGAGAAAGAGAGAGAGAGTATAGATACTCGTAGGCAGACAAAGATAAAAAATAACAGACAACAAAGTGAACAAACTCAACAATACCTTGCAACATTCAGTGTCATGTCAAAAAGTTCAATAGAGAAACTCCGTTCGTCACGAGGAACTGCCTGACAAAACTCGACCTCTTTTCCCAAATTATTATAAACACTAATTATAGAGCTGACCAATGCTTTTGGATCAAAATTATACTTCTCTCTATCTTTTACCTAACAAAAGCCTTGAGCACTAGTTTTAAAAAAGGTTAAACATACATTGAAATCTTTTCTTTTCTGTCCAACAAGTTGCTTTAGGGAGTTATTTAGCATTGCAACAATCTGATCCACAATAGGCTGTATGACAAAAGGCCTGATGAGGAAAGAAAGGACAAGACAGAATTGTGGGACATGAGAGAAAAAAGAAGAGAGAGAGAGAGGGAGAGAGAGGAGAGCGAGAGAAAGAGAGGGGGGGAGGGAGGGAGGGAGAGAAAGAAAGAAAGAAAAGAGAGAGGGGGGGGTCTAACTGGCTGGTCTCCATTACCTGGTGATTCCTGAAGTGATCATTTCAATTGTGTTAACAGTCTTCAATGCCAGTATGTTCCTATTCCTGGCATACATGACAGCTTCCTTCAGTCGCTCATTGTGGTCTTTCTTTTCATCATTGCTCAAGTCTTCCCAAGATGGTGACTCTTTTATCAACTGAATCTCTCTCACAACAGATAAATTCTAATAAAATACAAGAGAACAGTAACCAAATGAGACAACACACAAAACGTGACACGTGCACCACAACACTAATTCATGAGTATGTAAACATACACAGTTTCACACAAACACACACCACATGGGGACAACTGCCTAGTGTCTCTAGGCTCTAGCTAACATAACAATCAGGGCACGTGATGTAGATGTTCAGGCATTTTAAATTATTACAAATTAACTAGTAGCATGATCATAAATAACTCTACAAAGGCAGCTTAAACTTACATGTCAAAAAATCATATTTAGTTTTGTGGTGGTAAATTTTGTGGATTAGTCCAAAAGATACCCAACCACAAAAATAACACACAGCACTGCATAGAGAACATGTGCAAGAATAAAGAAATGGAATATAATACAGTTTGAATCAATTGAATGAAAAGTTAAAAATTATGGGCACCTACTGTACATGTATACCATCTGCCACAGTAAAGTAGAGCAGGAAGCAATTTGGCAGGAATTTACAAGAAATTAATGTTACAAATATTAGCTTCCACAAAATACTTGAACTGAGATCCAAAATAATCTTTCTGAAATAGGCTAAATATGACTAGTTAAATATTATCAGATACGGTACATTGGTAAGCCCTCACTATCAAAGTTTATTATACGAGAACAAGGGCATCAAAACACCAGTAAGAATTAACATGTTTTGTCTATGATGGTTTAAGAGATTCACAGTCTTCCTCCAGACAATGACTGGTTATAGTAATATAGAGGAGGAACACCTGTCTTAACAACTAATTAGACTAGTCCCAAGAGTGGCTGAAAGATACATCAAGCAATTAATGATATACACGTACCTACACCATATACCTACCACCTACATGTACCTACATGTACATACACGTATACCTACATGTACAAGTACATGTACAAGTATACTTGCACCACAATGGCACATGTCATGCATGCACATGTGATGTGATCCATGTGCTGTATAAACATCACATGAGCTATTATTTACCTGGAGTCCTTCATCAAGCTGTATAGTGGCGTCGTTGATTATCATGTTCATGAATCTCAGGAAAAGAGGAACTTGAGAGCTTATTTGGACTGTGTCAACCTTAAAGTACAACAAGACAATAAATAAGCTACTTAGTGTTATGATTGTAATAGGCTTCACTGTATAATGTGTGTGTGTATACCTCATCACTCAGTTCTTTTAAGCTTTGTCTGTAGCAAGGTATGTTCCATAAGAAACTAAGTATTCTATACATCGGTAAACGATACTCTATAGTAATAATAATAATGACAATAATAATAATAATAACAACAATAATAATAATAAGGTATATACCTTATATACATGTATATTTTAAAATAATAATAAATTAACTATAATTGTATAATATTCAATTCAGGGTTTCCCACAGAATTTTGGTATTTTTGCTCAAAAATTGGAATTTTAAAATTTTGTATGCAGCCATACAGAATTTTGCTTAAAAAATTGGGCCAAAGGCCCTTGTATAGTACAGGGTATTTTGACGAAAATCACAAGGAGAGAATTCTCCATTTTTATATTTTTTTCTGATACATATGCATGTCCTTATGTTGCATATCAAATTTAAGCTGATTCTGATCAAATTTGAATTTTCCATAAATTTTTAGAGTTGTTAAAAAATCAGGCCAAACACCCTGTACTACAATACAGGGACTTTTGTTAAAATTTCATCAAAAATGACTAGGAGAGAATTTTCCATTTATATATTTTTTTCTGATACATATACATGTCCTTATGTTGCATATCAAATTTGAGCTGATTCCAATCAAATTTGAAATTTTTATAAATTTCTAAAGTTGCTCAAAAACCTGGCCAAATACTGTATTGTAGTGCTTGTCAGCTCATGAAGCTCATGCTGTTTAGCTCACTTAGCATACTTTGTGGGAAACCCTGACTGGTATACAATTGAAACTTTTAACTTGGTAAAAAGAAAATATAAAATTTGTCTAAAACGGTGGCTCAATTTTGGCAATTTCTATCTAAAAAATAGTGATAATTTACGAAATTTATCTTCAAACTCCATTGAGTCCCCAGTGTGTTCAATGTCAATGAATATCATTAAAAGTGAGGGGAACAGGTGACGGATGGCAATCTCGTGTTGCTCAAACAGAGCTCGCTGATCATCAACAAACTAAAATATAAAAATAAAAATAACAATAATAATAACAACAACAACAACAACAATAATAATAAGAGGGGAAAAAATTGGAGAAAGGAGAAGGAAGGACAGAAAGAAAAGAAGAAAAATATATAAAAATATGATATACCTTAGAGTGACTTTTAATTGCGGGTACTAAATATTGCAATTGTAGCACAAGGTAGATTTTGCTGGTATTAAAAATTGCAATTAAGTAATTATTACTAATAGTTATATGGCATCATGATGTCATTATTAATAATTGCGCGTATTAATAATTGCGATTTTAACCCAAACGCAAAATTCGCAATTAATAGTACCCGCATTTAAAAGTAACCTTAAGGTAATGATGTTATAAATTATAATGATTACTAACCGAACTCCCCATGAGTCCTTGTTGCTCTGTGTCATCAGTTTCTATCATTAATGATAATAACTGGGTCAATTTAGCACGCAAATGAGGATTGGCTATTAATTGAGGATAACTATAATGCAAAATAAAGAAACAAAATAATAAAGAATTAATTCATCAGTCTCCAATATGTCTTAACTCCTTCCTCACTCAACTACTGTATACCGGTTCTAATTTCACATTTTTTTCTAATTACAAAATTTTTACACCTTCATTGTCACATCTTTGTAAACTATTAATGAACTTTTTTTGTGAAATTTTAGAAATGCAGAATTTGTGAAAATATTTCCCTGCAAAAATAAACTGGTATACAGTATCTCCCTCTCTCTCTTTATCAAGGTCATTACCCCATGTACACTGTACAAAATGTCACCAATTGATACTGAACTTCACTTGACTCTAACAAAATCCTTGACCTGATCTGACTAATGAAATACATTATAAATTATAATTTAGTAAAGATGATACTTTTATACTAACGTTAGGAATACAGCGAAATCAGAGAGATTCTCAACCAAGCACTCTGGTATTGTCAGGAGTGAAACAGGTGCCTAGTAATATCAAAGAAACACAATCAAGATCAGATAATGCACATGTACAGTACAACATTAGAAAATTTTATTATTCTATGAAATTGATTTTTTGAGACACAAACATAACAGCAGTAGTGCAAGTAAATAAATAAATAAATAAATAATAAGAAAGCAACAAATAAAAATAAAACTAAAAATTCGCACATGTACATGTGTACATGTATACAATGCAGTGCTGCTCTTACTAGCTCTGGAATAGGAAAGATTTGTTCCGATTCTTTTTTAATTAGCTCAATCAGCCAAACAGCTGTCGCAGTATAAAATTTCATAGACAACTCTAGCAGCTGTGGATGCATGATATGAGCCTACAATAGAGTAGAGTAGAGTACAGTACAGTAGATTAAAGTGAGAAAGGAATTACTACACTCGACATTCATTGCATTACAAAATGATGAAGTCACAATAGAAGAAACAGTATCATTTACATACATGCAAATTACGGTATGCTACGCATTACGACAAACAAACATGTACATACATGTACATAAACGTACAGTGTACATGTACATGTACATGTACAAGTACATCTGTAAGGGGCTATTACAGTATAGCGGGTTATTTTCGAGGATAACAAATTTCCCAAGTTTCACATATTTTTCAAGATTCGTGAAATTAAATTCCTTGAAAATCAATTTGATACGGTACAAGATGGCAGAATAGTGGAAACTCGCGAAAATTGATTCCGCAAACTTCCGGATACGGGTCATTCGCGAAATTTATTATCCTCGAAATTAACCCGCTATACGGTATTATGAGGATAGCAAATCAGTAAATGACACAACGAATATAGTAAAACCATTTAGAAATTAGTTAAATTAATAATTTTTATAATTATACATGTATAGTATGTATGTGTAGGACTCAAACACAAATATTTCCGGTGCTTACTTGAACTCCTAACAACTGAGAGAGGAAAAGTCTCTCTCTAGGACCACCCCTTCCCTCCATCTCTTGAACCTGTAAACAACAACAACAACAACAATAACAACAACAATAATAATAACAATAATAATAATAACAGCTGAAATATTGGCAGAAGTTAAACTTGGCAATTTGTTTAAAATTTGCAATTCATAAATTTTATATTGGTGATTTAACAGCCACGTGTCATTGAGTATACTCAACATGTGGTTTAAAATTGGCTGAAGTTGACTGCAGCTGCCAAATCTGCCAACCAGCCAAATATTTCCAGCTATCATGATACATGTATATATACACATGTATCTGATTCTTACTGTGGCAAGTATTCTGTGAATATGCTTGAACAAATGAATGGTTTGTGTGAGCCCAAGGATAAGAGATTTGTGAGTGAGGAAGAAGCAGTGAGACACAAACTTAACAGGAAGGACCGGCTCACTGGGGCAGACAAGAATCTCTACAATAAATTAAATATGGTCAGAGAGCTTGGAAGCTATCAAAATAAGGTGTGTTTCCTTAAAGAAACAAAATTAGAATAGATATTAAAAGAAACCATCAAACAAGAGAAATGTATAAACTTTCATTACACACTAAAATATCAAACATTATAGAATAGATACAGTAGTAATAATAATGGCTATACACACCATAGTATCACTGTGGTTGTAGGACCACATACACACAGTACATGGTACTGTACTGTATAGCTGGTAATTTTGGAGCAGGTAGGGAATTTTAGCAAATTTGATGTTTTGACAGCTCATGTCATGTACATGTATTTGACAAAATATAAAGCCTGTCATTTTGCTGAGCCTTTAAGTAGCACATGGCTATAAATTTGCCACATTAAAACCTAACAATCATCAAAGGAATTTAGCAATTTGCCAAATTACCAGATATACGTGTACAACATTGACAAAAATACCTCTTGAAGTTAATTTAGTTTCTTGAGAGAAATCAAGAAAAGCTTTATCGTACTGTGGGCCCTCATGACCATCCCGAGTGGATCCTAGCACACAATATCCAGGATCAACATTCATTAGCTTTGGATTAACAGCAGATCCAGAGCTGGGAATAGTGAATGGGGTGCTCAAGTGAAGCAAGACCCAACAGACGTTGAGAAAGAAGCCATCACTAGCTGTATGGATCATTGGAGCATTAAACATACGGGACATCATCTAGAGGATAACACAGAGAGAGAGAAAAAGGGAGAAATATTGAGCAAAGACATAAATCAGGAAAGAAAAGAAGAGAGAATCATGTACCGTACATGCAAGATAAACAAATAAAGAGAGATGAAAGAAATAATTAGGAATTGACTCACAAAGGATAAAAGAAAAGAAAAAGATTGTGACATATGCTTAACGATTAAATAGAAAACCACATCAATGGACTGTGCTAATGCATGTATAGTCTATAAACTTCATTACCTTTCCTCTGTCAGCATTAGCTTTAAAGCAGGACACAAACCACTCAATAACTCTCTCCTTGACGTCTTCCCCTTGACGTAAAAGAGATGAAACCAGGATATGAAGTTTAGCTACGTTCCCTTCCAACTGCAACTGAAGGGATCTAGTCAAATCTTTACTTTGCATGAAATTGTGAATAAAATGCTCCTAAAATGAAAAAAAAACACGATAAGAATGATACAAAATGTAGATAAAGTAAGTGTAGAGATAATAGTAGAAAATCTACCTGATTAACATATGAATTTCGTAGTACACATTACTATAATCTTAATGTTGATTTCAATGATGATAAATATTAAGATTTAGTCTATACACACACAGTATTTCAGTGACTGATATTGAAGACTCACCGATGGCTGCATTAGTGATGGAGAGAGTGTCGTTGGTGACAGGAGACGACCAAGCAAAGTGTGAGCCTGATATGCCTTGCCATTATGTGGGACCGTTTTATCAGGAAACCAATAAGAAGATGACACCAATAACTAAATGCACATGTACATACGTATGCAAAGAATCTCGATACAATAAGGAAACTATCTTACAGAGGAAAGAGATGAAACTTGAGTAAATAGCATAACAGCCTCAATTAGGAGGTAGTAGTCACTTGACATTAGAGTAAGATTAGAACATCTGGCGTATACGTGACTCAGGAGAGGATTAAAGATAATTTCCTTGAAATGAGTAAAAAATGATCACATCATTCACAGTATACATGTATTGAAATTAGTAGTACCAAGTTTGGTCGGGTCTGTGATCTTGCAATATCCAAAATAAAACTAGTCAAGCCTGATAATAATAATTAAGAGCATTATCCTTACAAGTAATGGTGACAGTCCTGGAGCTTACCTTTTGAACAGGAGTCCATACAGTGATGAACAAACTGACTCTCGGACACATCTTTTGCTTGCAAAATACAAATATTGTGTGCCGAACATATCATCACACTACATGTAGATAAAGTGGTTTTTTAAATACTAGAGCTAGCATGCAATCTCACCCAGCCATTTCAACCACTTTCTTTTTAAGTCTTGATAAAAGATCAACCTTCCATGTTGGAGCCTATTATGATCATACAGGGATTGAGACAAGAACATTAATTTTATTATTATTAATAATAGAGATAAATGGTGTAAATACACTCCTATAGACACAGCACAATAAGTGACTCATTCAATCCAATGAAAGCACATTACTACCTTTTTAACAGCTGCAGCCTGGGACCCTATTCTATCATAACACTGTGACAAATAGAGGACAGGAGATGACTCTATAGCATGTTCTCTACCACAGCCATTGTGCTCTGATCCTCTTGGGTTTATCACCAAGTAATTCTCTGGATTACTTAGCTGGAGTCTTTTTGCTAATATCTGAACAAAACAAAATAGAAGAATTATAATTAATATTAATCATTATTAAAGAAAAATCAATGGAACTTTGTTAATAGACAAAATAATAACCCAACTGCTTAGTGCCCGCCTACGCAAGTGTGGCAAGTCCAACTAGCATTTAAAAAATTGCTAATGATACACACAGGTGGCCATTGAGTGTCACGTCCTAGTAGTACTACAAAATGTCACTTACTCTAAAATCACTACCTCATTGATAAATCAGACTAAACTAGTAATCATACATCATGCACTCACACACGCTAGACAAAAACAATTAGAGCTCACTCCTACGTTAGATTAATGATAATCAGACCGTTAATATAACAACTAGAAGAAAGTATAAGCGATATGCATAAGAACAGGGCTCATTGAATGCTGTATAGCATCACATACTGTATCCCTCACTAAATTCATTTGAAAAGTTATAATCAACTCAAAAAGTCCAGACATACACAAGCAATCCCACATAATATGAATTGACGTAATAACGCACATGTAAATGGATTAGGTTATATTGCATTAGAACTAATGGGGGCACATTGATCCAAATCAGTGTTTAAAAACTTTTGATTAAGTCATTAAAAGGCTAGACTTTAGTGCTAATAAAGAATGTGTACTTTTTTCTAAGAAGAATGTGACGTGACACATCAATAATTAAGACCAGACAAATCTAATATGTACATGTACATCACCACATAATGTAGGGTTGGACTTGGAAAACGGTAAACAACTTGGTTATTGTGCAGGTCAGGCACACCCTGTGGTTCATACCACATTAACAAAACCCAACACGCATACATGTACATGTAAATGTACAATGTACATGTAGACGTAACGTACATGTACATTACTAATATATCAAAAAATAATCCTTCCCTATGCTTTTAGTCTAATCCGAGGACTTAATTGGGCGAACCCCTTACTGAGATATAAATTTCTGTATGCATGTATGTACATTCGGGCGTGTCTGGGAGGTCTGGCCAGGAGGCAGACCCCCTCAATGTTTTACATTCTATCTAGTTTACTGTATACCTGTACATGTACATGTACATGTGGCAAGAAAATTCGACAGTGGACTCAACTTATTACATTCATTGATAATAAAACTGCTAACAATAATTTTACTACAAAATGCTGTTGGTACATCATACATGTACTTATACTAAAAATTCACCTAATATACTATTCACAATTGCCTTATTTACTAATGAATCACAGTATCCATCCATCCATACACATAGTTTGGATGACAAGATGGCAACTGTAAATTTAAAAAAAACAAACATAAGGCCTTTGTGGCTTATAGAGAAAACTCAAGTGGCAGTACTAACAGTTTAGAATAAAGGTCAGAATGTGTCCTTAGAAAAGGTTAAAGCAACTCCTGCACAAAGTCTATTTTGCTTCCTATCATGTGGCTTTGTTAAGTTTATCTTATAACAAAAGGTGAATTAATATCTACTATACTGTATCACTGATTCGTGAAACAAGTTAGGACAGGGACTACATGTACATGGCACTTGACTAATTATTTAAGTATTATTAAGACAAAAAACTATCACAAACTTCATTGCAAAACAGTTAACAAACAAACCTTTTCATAGTTATCAAATGTGAGTACACCTTCATCTGATAATAACAAAAAGTACTTTAACTTGTCATCAACAAACTGATCACTACCTAGTGAAAAAAAAAGATGACAAATCACTCTTTTAGATCAATACCTCCTTTAACTAGTAGCACCCTGGCTATAATTTGATTCATTTGATGGTTCTGTCTCTCTTTAGCTTGTACAGCGGCCTCGGCATCTTCCTCACTAGAGAAAAGCGACAGAAATGGATTAGCTGCCATATTTACTGCTGGGTGTGGTCACTCAATATTAATTAATTATTGCAATTATTGCTATGAATAATAAAAAAATAAATCATAAATGCATTATATAATGTACAGTAGATGCATGCATTATCAAACAGTTAATGACGTAAAGCCATTTTCTTGTGTTTCTCTTAGAAATGGTTTCATGTACACTGGGGAAGGGTTTCGTGTTAGGCTCTCCAGCGATTTATAAGTATCGGAAGAGGAGGACGAATACGTCAACGATTGTTTCTCCACATCGTCCGGCAGTGAAGGCAAATAAAACAGTCCATCCATTCCACTGTCTAGATTCTCCTGTCTTTCTTGTGTAGGTGATAAAGCAGACCTCTGATGTGGTACTTCTTCTTCAACTCCTCTCCTAACTAGCAGTGCTCTCATGTAGTTGGGATCTCGCTCATAGTCACCGCTATACTTTGATAAGTCCGTACAGCCTGAGCTAGACGAAGACGAACGTAAGTTGTCATCATCAGTCGCACTGTCTCTACCATCTCTCTCATTCTCACTAAAAAGGATCTGGAGGGAAGTGGTCAATGACTCGGTACTGGAGTTCGTGGGCTTCCTTGCTCTTCCTTCATCAATCCTTTCATTTGCTGGTAGAACAAAATCTGAAGGATGAGCATAGTCTACATCTACATGAAGTTCACCTACTACTGCGGGCACAATTCTGTTGTGACAGGTTGCAGATCCACCCAGTGAGAAAGATTGTTCAGTTAACGAGCATGTTTGTCTAATTTGGGCACTTGAAGGGCCTGATTGATGACACACGATTAAGTTTCCATTGTAATAATCTTGAGAACCACTGGTACGATCTTCGTCAGATAGGGAGATATTATCACTTGAATTGGAAGAAATCTGAAGTTGTGTACACATTAAAAGTGACGACGGCCCATTTTGAGTGCTATCACTTTGTTTCTGCCTCTCCTCCCTGATAACAACTGGTGACCAGCAACCAGTTGAGGTTGTATTATCATCACTGTGGCCCAGGGTGTCATTTGGTAATGTATAAGCATGACTTGAAGAAGAAGTTCCCGAGGCATTAGGAAAACCTGAAACTGTTGTAGCAGTAGTAGTTTCTTCGACATCATTTGACTTTAATGATTCTACTTCGGCATACACAGTAAAGGAGGAATGCGAAGGGCCTTGTAAATTAAATGCCACACCTCCCAATGATTGATTTGACATGAGCTGATTCTGCAGAGGGCTGCAATGAATAGTTGTCAGAGGGAAGCTGAGATCAGAACTCTTCGTAGTCTCAGATGATGTTAGAATCATGCTCTGCCTAAAACAATAAGAGTGAGAATAATTTAGTGTGGTGGCTAAAATAACCACCCCAACAGGGAGTCTACCCTCACTCTCCTCCTTCTTAACCCTCAGTCATGAGAACTAATAACAAAACTAATTGATAGACAATATTCTATTGACCAACAATAAACAAGTGCAAAAGTCTAAAGAATTTTTAGTACAATGAATACATAAACTGGTGTACCTTATAGGTGGAAGTGGGTCTGATGGGTTAGGTGGAAGTGGGTCTGATGCTGGGTTACGTGATCTGGGTCTTAAGACAACATCTTCTATAAACAGATGATAATTATGTTACGATTATCAAAATTAAACATTAAGTTACCTATAGTTGGGGACGAAGGTGAGCGACGGCAGAACATGGCTACCAGGACAAGAGTAACAAGAACAAATATCAAGATAGAAGTTGAGAGTATAGTTACAATAATGTACATCCAAACAGCAACTGGGTATTGATCAGTGTTGCCAACAGAAATAGTACTAAGACTGGCAGTACTAAAACTGACAGTACTAGGACTGACAATGGGACTGCTAGTATGAGAATGCATGGCAGTATTGCCATTACTGGATAGAGTATTGCTAGCTACAATACTAGAATGGATGACAGTATTACCAGTTAAAGAGTTGCTACTTGTGGTACTTGCACTGCTAGCAATATTAACTGCAGTGTTGCTTGTAGGCGAAAAGCTCACAGTTAGGGTTTTGCTTGTAGTGGTACTAGCAATGTTATTAACAGAATTTGTAGCAATTGGAGGCAAGGCAGTATTACCAATTGTAGTACTTGCAGAAATAACAGATTCAATAAAAGTGGATGTTATTATAGATGATTGACTGTCAGTTGATTTTGTTCCTGTGGTTTGCAATGACATTGATAATGTAGTACTGGTAGCTTGTATGGAGACTGAAGGATTTAATGATGCACAACTACTACGCTTTTGTGCTTTGTCGGCCTTTGGTCCACACGTGGAAGAGCGTTGATAATCAACTACTGGAGGGATACTGAATGATGGCTGTGGCAGCAGCATGTTATTTGGTTCTACAATTACTTGGCACATATATGTGCCAATGTCAGTTCCTTCAATTAAGTTACTGAGGTGCAGGACTGATTCGAAAACTCTGTTATGATAAGTGTTAATAATTAAGTACTTGCTTGTTCCATTAGCAAGTTTCACTGAGTTAAAGTACCACTGAATATCATGTACATGTCCTGCAGTAGCAGCAATTGCTTTGATTTCACAGAGGAGTCTTACTCCATTGGTGGTGAATGGGTCACAATGATCAATTTCTTTTGTAGAGAGACCAATAAATTGATATCCTCCAGAACAGCATTCAGTAACTGTGTGGATTAAAAAGAGACTACACTGACTTTTGCAGGAAAATAAAATAATTTTTAATCTTACCTAATATGAAAGGCAATAAGAGAAGTAGGCACAGGACGGTAGTGCTCTTAGCTTCGCTTTTGCAGACCTGCGGCATAACGGTCCACAAATGGTAGCTTGAGATTGCAGTTTATACTAAAGATGAGACAACTATAGGAGAATATTGCTCTGCTTGAGATAAACTGGCAGAATGCTTCTCTCATTCCCTGTAGTACAAATCTACAACCCGCAAGCTAACGTGTGCAAAAGGATGTTCCTTGAAAAATTACGGAAATAAACGCAAGAAAACGGGCATAGGCGTAAAATCAAAATGGCTGTCGCTGGTCGAAGTATATCCATGTTCTCTTTGATAACTGATAATATCTTGGAGCCTGGTGATGAAGTCCTCACTTTTGATTACCTAGTATGTTGCCTTTGCCTTATAAAGCCTGTATTTGGTTTTTAGGGTAAACGCTACACTGCAGATCTACTTCCAGAGGGCACAATTCGTGGAAATGGTCAGATATATGCATCACCATATGCTTGGGCCTCTTACTGTAAGAACGAAATTAATCCTGATCAGAAGACAGCCATTGGATGGGGACACGTAAGGATCACTATATCACCGTCACTATGGCAATAGGAAAGCATGAATGTTTTTGAGATGCCATTGATGTGGGAACGATGGGGTTGGAACACCTGGCTATTTAGGATGTATTCACTGTCCGACTAACATCTGTGTATATTTGTGTGAATAGTGCATATGTATGTGGTGGTAGGGGTTATTAGCAGTATTGAGTGACACTACTACTTTCTTATTTCTTTGTTGCATGGTGGCTTGGGAATCCGAGAAATGCACTTGTTTTCATTTGGTCTGGCCGTTGCTAGGGCACTTAATGTATCTCTACTTTGTTTGACCACTGTCTTATATTTTAGATACGGTATAGAGGAATAAAGTTGAGTCAATACAAGAACTTGTACTTAAAGAAACACAAGCTATGCTCTGATCAAGTTAGTACTACATTGATTTACCCTCTTTATTTTTAATTTTATGTGCCCATTCACTAAAATGGACATTCATTAGATTTATACATGTACATATATGTGTATGTACACACATTTATTGTGTCTATTATTTATAATTGATTATTAAATGGTCTCTGTTGTCACAGGATGAGGTACCTTCTGACAGTTCTAGGTCATTTGGTATAAGGAAAGGAAGGCGAAAGTAAGTAACAAAAGGGTCAGTTGCCTCCTCTTTCCTTTGAGTCTGTCCTCAATCCCTCCTTTAAGTCTCATTCTAATTCTCTTCACTGGCTTCTTTGGTTTGTGACTCTATGACCTAACTCTCTCTCTCTCTCTCTCCTTGTGTGTGTGTGTGTGTGTGTGTTTGTCTACTTATAGGAAAGTACCACCTGACTCAAATACTTTAGCTGAGCCTCCTCCAGCCATAACAAGAGGTACATAAAGTTTTTTCTATTCTTTGTAGCTTTGTGTGTATAAGCACTGGCCAATATAACTTCCTTTTTAGTTTTGCTATAAGGAAGTTTTTCCTACATGGTAATACCCTGTAGTCTCTGATAGTTGTTGTGGTCACATAACACAAAGGTTTTGTTCATTTTACAAGTATAGCAGCTAGCATTTGTTATGTTACCCCTCTCAGCCTTTCACTATGCCAAGAACCATTATAGGCAGTATTGTGCTCTAGTTTTACAAGTTTGGGTGGTAATATAATACAATGGCTGTTGTCTCATTGGCTGCCTGGTCTATTATTAATTTATTTATTGGATAGCGCAGGCATATGGGGGTGTGATGCACATTTTACAAGCCAGTTGTCATTGTGCTTCGTTTCTTCTTTGATGACTGATTCAATTGTGCTGGAACACTTAGATTATGCTATTTTTATATTACAGATACCATTGGTGTCCTAGCAGGTGGCACTAGCAGTGGGTTGCTAGGTGATCATGTTGGAGTGGCAGTCCAGGAGGCTCAGCACCAGCAGGCTGCTTTGTCAGAGTGAGAAAGTATTCACTAATTCTGAGGTGATGATATCATCCAACCATAGAACCAGTGAATTAGTACAGTGTGCCTCGTTTAAGACACTTGGTGAAGTGCAACCGTTCCAAGTGGTAGTGTCCTCTAATGTCTTATTGCTAATGGTACGTACTGTTTATAGGCGTGAATTAATCCATGTACATGTACGTACATGTGTATATTTATTATAATTAACGTGTTGATGGATTATTATAATTACATGTAGGACTATCATAGTCATCTGTGCTGGTCTGAAGTACTTGGATATCTTGGTGGATTGTATGACCCTGTTCAGAAAGGTAAGGATTATAGTCCTCCTTGGTTTTGTTATTGTGAGGTTATAGCTATTCAGGTTGTTCAAGCATTTCCTGTATGTCATAATCCTAGTGACAGCAGTGATGTCAATGCTCGGACTGAGGCCGCTGTGAGGATACTATTAGTCTCTGTAGTGGTCTTTTATGGTTGTGCTTTTTTCTTAGATCAAAGAGAAGATGGTCTCTGATGGCTTACGTGTTGTTGGTTGGTATCATAGTCATCCCAGCAGTGAAGCTACGCCTTCTGTGAATGATGTCACTCAACAGCTTCTGTATCAAGAGACTGTGTCAACTAGTGAAGGAGAAGAACCATGTGTTGGGTTTATTATTGGTAAGACATGAACACACACACACTTCATGGAGACTTTCTATAACGTAATACAGTCAAACCTGTTTATTCCAGACACCTTGGGAGTTGGGACCCAATAAAACTGTCCTTATTATAGAGGTGTCTTTATTTCGGAAGTTCATTAATACATACACATTTATATTGTATTGGGACTGGTACTACCTGTCCTGATTATAGAGGTGTCCTTATTTTAAAAGAGTGTCCACAATACCAGATTATACTGTACATGTACATGTATATCTTAATTCTCTTGTGTATCTACATCATGTATTTCTTACCATCTTTCTCAAGTACATGTACATGTACATTATAGATCGATTGCAGTATAGTACATGTATACTCATAGTTTCACACTGATGGTGTTTTAAAATGCAAAATATGATACATTGTGTATTTGCATAAATTTGAGCCTTTCACAATTTTTATTTTTGATAATGGACAATTCAAGGAAATAAAACCTTGCACAACTGTTATATTTAGACACCAATTGTCAGTATAAATGCTGTTATAGCTCTTGAAGCTGGTTGCTGTTGTGAGCTTAAAGTTTTGCAGATTAATGTTTTAATTTTAGCAAAAGAGGAGAATTTATGGAATTTAAAGCCCGTGAACTTAACCCGGCCAGCTGTATGTGTAAACAAAACGATTATTAGATAACCAATGGTCTGGTGTACGTTAATTATTATGAATGTGCATAATTAATTTTTTAAATTCACGAAGCAATCATCTACTGAGCCACAATACCATTGATTGTGTAAGCTTGCATGGGTTTATGCAGTTCCCAGCATCAGTTTTGTTTACCATGAATGCTATTGAAGGATCACAATTCAAATGAATTTCTTTAAAGCTAAATGGTAGAAGAATGTTGAGTAAAGTCATTGATGTAGACTATTATAGTATAGCAATCTACTCTCGCTTATAGTAACTTATACTATTTCTTTTCTCTCTTCCTCTCTCCCCTTCTGTCTCTTTATGTATATCCATTTCTTTTAAGGTCCCAATTTGGCTAACAGGAGGGCAGAAATACAATCAAACATTTCCATGTTTTGGGTTAAGAGAAGAGACAAGATGCACGTCAGTTTATTTCCAATAATCATACCCATCAATAACAATGTCTTAATGAATAGGCCTCACCATTGTCTGTTAGTTATACCACAGCTTGGGAGCAGTATCTAACACAGTCAGTCGCTGATGAAATGGTAAGTATTCTCATTTTTCATGTTTAGTTGATTCCTTTGCAGAACAGGATTTCGACTTTTTACAGGCACAGACAAGACTCCATTAATTTCAAGGCCCAATGGAAAGAAGGCGTTCCTTTTGCCCATAAATTGAAAGTATGTTAAATACAGGCTTCTTAACACCTTGTCATTTAACACCTTTGATAGACCTCTCTTGCCAATGTACAGCCCGAATTCCCTCACGAGAATTCAGAGTCTTTCTTTACATTTATTGAGCAGTTATTGTTTCGTACTTAGTGGGACTTTTTAGCTCTCTTTTGCTCCAATCTCAACTACTTGCCTTTCTCTCTTTCTCTCTCAAATTATTATTATTATTCCTCAATCTTTACACATTCCAATCTCGACGACAGCTTTATTAGACAATGAAATAAATAAAATAATGTGATATTTTTTGTGCTATGTATCTAATTTTATTTTTTCAAATTCTCTTCAATATTGTTGGAAATAGTTGTGTGTCTAGAGAGAGTAAGGATGATGATCCTATCATTGTATAATTGTCTAAGACTTACTCTGTAGCGATTGTTTAATTTGGCTGTAGTGCATCTTGCCCTGTGATAGCTGTCCATGTACAGTGTAGTGCAGCCAAGGAGAATCCCAGCTCCAGGATTCTGTGCATATTAAATAAATGGATTGTTATAATGATTCATAGAACTTAGCTTACCTGTTCAAAGCTGTTAGGAGCTGGCTTTTCTTTTTTCTCTCGCTTCTTCTCGATCGTTTTTTGCTTTCTCAGTGTCTCGTTGTGATGTGCCTCCATCTTTCTCTCTCTCACTCCAGCTCTCCAAATGCAATGAATATTCGCGAGCCCCACCCTTTATCAGCGAGACACGCCTGCTTTAAAAAAATGTACTATCAAGACAGTCTCTCCTTTTTGCAAGGTTATCCTAGCCCAGACAACACTTGGGAGCTGGTAGAAAAGATTGGTAAGAGTTCTAACTGCTCTTTTTCCAGAAAAATGCTCCATTTTTGCTTATAACATTATGTAGGTGAAGGGAATTATGGTGTTGTATTCAAAGGTAGAAATAGAAAGACTGGCAAAATTGGAGCAGTCAAAATTATGGATGCTGTCTTGGAAAAGGAAGAAGACATACAGGCCGAGATTAATGTGTTCCAGAAATATTCCTCGCACGAGAACATTGTGGACTGCTATGGGCTTTACCTGAAGAGACAAGAAAACAGCACAGAACAGCTTTGGATTGTAATGGAAGTAAGGATAGCACTATGGGAGCTATAATAGTATCTATAAATAATATTATATTGCAGCATTGTGCAGGGGGCTCAGTTACTGACTTAGTTAAGAAGATTAAGGATAAAGGTGACACACTGTCTGAGGACATCATTGCATACATACTCCATGAAGTACTAGCTGGGCTTGTCTATCTCCACAATAACAACATCATGCATCGTGATATCAAGGGACAGAATGTACTAATGACATACGATGGAAGGATACGTCTCATTGACTTTGGTAATAAATCATTTTTATATTATTTATTTGTAATATTTTCTACAGGTATTGCAGCTGCTGTGTCTCATGCTTATGGTCGCCGAAGGACTGCAATCGGTACGCCATATTGGATGGCACCTGAAGTGATTGCATGTGAACATCAACTGGACTATGACTATGATGTCAGAGCAGACGTGTGGTCGCTTGGTATCACTGCCATTGAAATGGTTGATGGTGTGCCTCCACTGTTTGGAGAGAATCCTATTAGAGCTCTTTATAAGATACCAAAGTAAACCAATGTCTTCCTTTGCATAATGTGTTCATGCAATTGCATAGGAACCCACCTCCCAAGCTTCAGAATCCTACCAAATGGTCAATATATCTGAATCAGTTCATAGCCAAGTAATTATATATAAAGTAGCAATGTGTTTCATTGCAGTTATAAATTAAGGTGCTTGGTAAAGGACTTTGAACGTAGGCCAACCTCAGGACAGCTAACAATGCATGAGCTGATTGTATCTGTACCTAAAGACTGTAGAATGGTCAGTTTCTTCTTCGTGTTTTGATGAAGTCTTTAATCTTGTTTCTTATAGATCCGAAGGAAATTAATGGCCATTATTGATACTTACATATCACCTGGTGACGTTTCTGAAGGTCATATTTCTGATAGTTCATCACCTTCATCAAAGGTATCAACTGGATTAGACACTGCCCAGTAAGACACTAGTAAACATTAATAATGGATTATACTAATAATAGGAGGAAATTGCTCGGTTTAAGAACTGTGGAATTAGTTAGTGATTTAGCAACACTTGAATACATTGATGAGGTAAGATAGCGTGGACTTGAAATGCTGACATTATTCAGCAATTACATTCACTAACTAACATTAATTTTTACGGCATATTAATAGCCATATTCTATGTAGGAAGTTTGAGCTGATTTCAAGTAGTGATGATCACTACTTGAAATCAGCTCAAACTTTCTACATAGAATATGGCAGATGAGCACATTTTAACTTGGTTTTTAGACAGGGTTTCCCACAGGATTTCGGCATAGTTCTCATGGAGCTTCTTGTCAAAGTTGCTCCAAAATCTGGTGCAGGGTATTTTGACAAAAATTTCAAAAATCCTACATTTTTTCTGGTACATATATATGTTATTATGCTGTGTATCAACTTTGAGGTGATTCCGATCAAATTTGGAATTTTATGAATTTTTAAAGTGGCTCAAAAATTAGGCCAATAGCCTTTTGTCTTTGCCAAAATTTCATCAAAAATGGCTTCCAGAAAATTCTCCATTTTTATTATTTTTTCTGATACAAATACATGTCCTTATCTCGTGTGTCAATTTTGAGGGGATTCCAATTAAATTTGGATTTTTTATAATTTTAAAAGCTACTCCAAATGCCATGTACTGTATTATAGTGCTGTCAGCTCATGAAGCTCATGCTGTTTAGCTCACTTAGCATGCTTTGTGGGAAACCCTCTTAGTTCTAATGAGATTATAATACTATGTTCTATCAAAGTCATATTCTGCTGTAGTATAGTGCCTCAAGCAAAAGTTAATTTCATTTCATTACATTATTATACAGGAAGTGATAGTTGGCCAATTGATGAAGCGCTATTGCAAAGATCTTATATATACTTATGTTGGTGATGTTCTTGTATCTATCAATCCATTTCAAAATCTACCTGATATTTATAATCCTAAGGTTGGTCTGATGAACTGTTAATTATTATTGTTATTGAAATGATAGATATCTGCTCAGTATCAAGGAGTCACTAGAGCTTCTAAGAGTCAGATGTCACCACACATATATGCAGTTGCTGGTGCTGCCTATGAAGAAATGATCAGAGAAAGCAAAGATCAAGTAATAAAGTTTCACGGCTTTAAACTTTTGTGGATCTGCCTAAAATTATTTTGGTGGATGTGAATGAAAGTGCTCTGTCATCTTGTGCAGACTATTGTCACAATTTTTAACAAATGGTGAAATCAACAAAAGTTTAAGCTCCTTGAAAGCTTGGCATACTAATTATGCCTATGTATGCAAGGTTTTTCTCAAAGCATACTAAGTGAGCTAAATAGCTGCTTCATGAGTTGACAAGAACTGCAACACTATTAGTACATGGTATTTTTAAAATTCACCAAAAATCCAATTTTGATCATAATCAGCTTAAAAGTTGATACGCAGCATAAGGACATGTATATGTATCAGAAAAAATTACAAAAGTGGAGAATTCTCTCTTAGCCATTTTTGATAAAATTTGGCCAATGACCAAAGATGACCTTTGGTCATTGACCCAATTTTTGAGCAACTTTTAAAATTCATAAAAAATGCAAATTTGATCAGAATTAGCTCGAAATTGATATGCAACATAAAAACATATAGATGTATTAGAAAAAATGTAAAAAAGGAGAATTTTTTCTTGTGATTTTTGTCGAAATACCCTGTACTATAGTATAGGGTCTTAACTTGACAATCCATTGACAAAAAGTTGCATGAGCACTATGCCAAAATCCTGTGGGAATTAAAACCTGCATGCATGATTGATTGCTAATTATGCATGCATGATATCAAGAATACTATATTTAAGGTAATTTACAAAACCTCTTGTTTTAGTGTTGTGTGATATCGGGAGAAAGTGGAGCTGGTAAAACTGAAGCATCAAATATCCTTGTACAGCAACTAACACAAATTGGGAAGGTAGAAGAAAAATTAATATAATGATAGTCTGATTATCTTTTTTTTTCTTTTTAGGCAAAAACCAGATCCCTGGGTGATAAGATAGTTTCATTAAATCCTTTACTGGAGTCGTTTGGAAATGCCAAAACTGTCATTAACAATAATTCTTCAAGATTTGGAAAGTATTTGGAAATTAATTTCTCTCGAACAGGACAGGTGATTGGAGCTCGCCTCTCAGAGTACCTGCTGGAGAAGTCCCGTGTGATATCACAAGCTGGGTAAGTATACTTTTTATTATAAAATATGAAATTGAAGCATATACAATTTTACAGGAAAGAAAGAAATTTTCACATATTTTACTACTTAATAGCGGGAATGAGGGAAAGAAAATTATCAAAAAGATACAAGTTGAAGCATGGGCAGCAATTCAGGTTTGTCAGAAATCAGAACATGTATTGATTAGTAATACTATTGTACAATGCTAGGTATCTATTGATAATAATACTATCATGAATGACTACCGGTATTTTTTATAGGTATCTTCATCAGATTGGTACTGGTAAAGCAACTGGGAAACAGAATCAAGGATTTGTCGAAAAATTCAACGAAGTAGAAGCAGCTTTTGAGCTATTTGGCTTCTCAAAAAAGGTTAAACGAATATTTCCAACATTGTATTAAAATAGTACTCCTTTTAATAGGATTTTGAACAAGTCTGTTGCATTCTTTCTGGCATTTTAAATATTGGTGATATTCACATTGAAGAAGACACAAAGTCTCCATTCCATTTAGAGGAAGTCAGCTGCATTACCAATAAACAGACACTAAATGATGGTATGACTGAACCGTCTCACAAGAAATATTAATAATAATTTCATGTATTTAGTCTGTGAACTTCTGGGAATTTCCCCTGCCATATTGGAAAAGGTCATAACTCATTCTAGCGTGATGGCACATGGTGATTATTATCATCTTTTATGCAGTAATAATAATGATTGGCTTTTACCTGCAGGAGAGACAATATTGAGACCCAATACTGTAGAAACAGCTATGGACTTTCGTGATGCAATGGCCAAATCATTATATGGCCGTCTTTTCTCTTGGCTGGTCAATAGGATCAATCCTACCCTTTGTCCTTCCAACGACAAGTAAAAGTCACTTAATGTCTTTAATTTTTGATTTTTTACTCTATTTTATTTTTCACAGAAACCTCAGTATTGGGATTTTAGATATTTTTGGATTCGAGAACTTTCGAGTCAACTCGTTTGAGCAGCTGTGCATTAACATCACCAATGAGCAGCTCCAGTTTTATTTCAATCAGCATGTGTTTGCCTGGGAACAGGTAAGAATATATTAGCAAACACTCATTCATAATATTATTATTATTACGCTACAGGAAGAATATGATAGAGAAGGCATTGATGGAACTCATATTGCATATACTGATAACAGACCACTCCTTGATCTGCTGTTAAACGTAACTATTAAGTGTATTATTAAATAAATTTGAATTATCACTTAATTTACCAGAGACCCATGGGACTCCTAGCTTTGTTGGACGAAGAATGCAAGTTCCCACGAGCTACAGATTTATCGCTGGCTTTGAAACTGCATCAGAATTTAAAGCACTCACCTCACTACATAAAACCAAAAGATAATGGCCCTACATTCATGATAGAGCATTATGCTGGAACTGTGAGTATAGCTGAGTGAAGCTTTGGTATTGTGTATAATCTCATACAATAGGTATTGTACACAACACAAGGCTTCTTGGAGAAGAATAGGGATACCCTTAAACCTGAGGTGGCTAGTATGCTGAAAGAATCAAGTAAGCTGGAAGTGGGTATCAACTGTGTATTATTTTGTTCATTTTATAGCAAATTCCATTGTCCAGCAATTGTTTACATCAACTTTATCAAAAACAGGAAACCTCCCGGATTCCTCTTTATCCAAAATTCCATTCTCAGCCACTCCTTTGTTTAATCGCCGGAGACCAACTGTAAGTATCTTCTTATGAGGAAACAATTACATGTAAATTCACCTTTAGCATATTATCATTATTTTTTTGTCTGATAAAAATGCATGGTATTTTTTGTATTCACAGCACTTCCAACCCAGTGGTGGTAGTCACACTCCTTTATCAAGTATCTCTGTTGCAACTAAACATTCACAGACAGTTGGGACTTACTTTTTTGTAAGTTATGTTTACATTATTTGATGTAAGAGGTCACTTTTTATATGGCCCACTTAGTAATACACAGTATTAAAAAATGTTGGTGCAGTAAATAATAAAAATACAAGAATTTGTGTTAATAGTGCATTTTGGAAACAAGAAAATTTTTACTGTAGAAAAATTTCTACCTAGTATAACTAAGCCTTAATAAATTAATTTCCCAAATAGAGCTGTATAATAATTATATTCAACTTTTGTAGTATTCATTGCGAGAGCTAATGGCAAAGATGTTGCAAGGGACTCCTCATTTCGTTAGATGCATACGACCAAATGATTTGAAGGCTCCACGTGAGTTTCAACCCGAGCGTGTTGTTGAGCAGCTCCGTCACACTGGAATACTGGAAACTACTCGAATCAGACGAGAAGTAATATTTTAATCATGACCTTCATGGTAACCCTAATGCATTTAATAGGGCTACTCACACCGGATATTTTTTGAAGATTTTTTGCAAAGGTAATTTATGTAGCGTTGTACTTGGCATAGTGCTCATGCAGTTTCTTGTCAGTGAGTTGTAATAATATAGTGCAGCAAAAATTACAAGACAAGAATTCTTCATTTTTATATTTTTTCCTGATACATATACATGTACTAGAGTTGTGTAGAAATTTTGAGGTGATTCTGATCAAATTTAGATTTTTAATGAATTTTTAAAGTTGCTCAAAAATTGGGCCAAACACCCTGTACTTTAGTACAGGAATTTCGGCCAAATTTTATCAAAAATAACTAGGAGAAAATTCTCCGGTCTTATATATTGTCTTGATACATACATGACTACATGTATGTATTTATGTTATGTAAAAATTTTGAGCTAATTCCAATTAAAATTGAATTTTTATAAATTTTTAAAGTTGCTCCAAATGTCATGTACTGTGCTGAAGTGCTCATGAAGCATGCCGTTTAAATCACTTAGCATGCTTTGTGGGGCTACCATCATTATTTCATTAATTGGTGTAGGTATCGTATCATTAGCTACAAACTCAGTCAATATGTGACCCCAACGCCAATCAATTGTGTCCAAGTATTGATGCAGGCAGGACTAGAGAAATGGGCCATTGGAAAAACAAAAGTATTCATAATTATTATTATTATGTACTGATAATTATTTAATACTTTTTTAAAGGTGTTTTTGAAATATTATCACATTGAGCGACTCTCCCATCTCCTCAGCAACTATCATTGTTTAGCCACTAGGATTCAACGGGTAGCCAGAGGCTGGCTGGCTCGAAAAGAAGCAGATAAAAGAAGAAAAGAGAAAGCTATTGTTAAACTTCAGTCATGTAAAGCTATCAAATACGACATGCATTATGATAATTGATCCCTTTCAGTTATTCGAGGATTTCTTGTCAGAAAGTCATTTAAAAGACTCGTAGACCAGAGACATAAAGCAGTTGTTCTGATACAGAAAGGTCACTTTGTCATAGCTGTACTATTGTAATGGGATTCATCATTATATATAGGTTTCAGAGGTCATCTCTGTAGACACAAGTATCAAAAGCTCCTTAAGGAAAGGAGAGCTGCTACTATTATACAATCAAGTAGAATAACGTTTTCTTATTGCCACAAGTATTAATGAATCATTGTTTTATCAGGTTTTAGAATGTGGATTTGCAAAAAGCAGCTTTTAAAGCTTAAATTAGAGATACAGAAAGCCATAGTGATACAAAGAAGTAAATGAGTTACATATAATATATATTGAAAAGTATTGTCAATATTTGTAGACGTTAGAAAATGGCTTGTTTACAAGCATGAGAAGGCTAGACAGAAATCAGCAAGAATTATTCAATTAGGTATATGCACGAGACTGAGATTTTATGTCATCATTTCTGGTGGGAGCCTTAACTGCAGTTGTATGGAGGATAATTAATTAATTAATTAATCTAATTATATTGTGTGTGTCTGTGCATCATATTAATAGCTTTCAGACAACACTTGGACAAGAAAAGGCAAAGAATGAAGCTCAAGGAAAGAAAGCATTTGTCAGGTGAGCCAATTAATACTCGACTATCTATGGACTAACACACTTACATTGTTATGGTTTGCTAATGACAACAACAGCTGTTTTCTTTCTTGTGTGTGTGTGTGTGTGTGTGTGTGCGTGTTTGTGCATATGTCCACGTGTTTAATCATTAATATGTATTCCCCATTATTTATCTTGCTACCATAGAAATGGGTGGAAATTCCCTCCGTTGTAAACTTGAGCAGCACCTGGCTTTAGAAATAGAGAAGCATGTGAATGAGGAGCCACTCAATAAGCTCCAGCCTGAATCAACACAGCAAGAGCAAAGTAATGACATGAAAGATGATGAGATTCTGAAACAAAAAGAAGATGAAAGGAAAGAATTACTGCCTGGAGATGAGGAGAAGCCAGATGAGCAAGTAGCAGAAACTATTGTGGACTACAGAGTAGAGGAAGAGAGTTCAATCAAAGCCAGTTTGCAAAGTTAGTTTAATGCTTAATATTATGAATGGGCTTATGTGCACAACTGTCATCACAATGTGTACACAGCTTACAATGAAGCTGCCTGGGAACTCCATATTCTGCTGGCTTCCTTAGCTGACTTAAAGATTGTGTAGTTATTGTAAGCTCACTATTCCTTTAGTAGTACTGAAAGAGTTTTCATTGGCCGGGTCATGTGCTCTTACCAACCTTTTAGGATAATAATGCATTTATATGCTAAAAAATTAGTATTTTTATCTTAAGTTATTGATGGGATGCTCTTAAACCTCATGCACCTCTTAACTTGGATTTACAATTAATTGACACTGTTCCATTAACCCTGAGACAATCTCTAAGGCAACAGAAAGGCTTCAGTGGTATGTGATATAGTTTACAGAGAGGTAGGAACCAATCCACCTCAAAGCACCCTCTAGACTAGCTTGACTGGCTTTATACACTATAAGATCTAATTAAACTATAGCTGCTGTTCATGAGGTGCATCCCATATTGTCACTACATTATCATGTAGACATTATTATCATGTAGACATTATTAATGTTTATTGGTTTCTTTTTTATTTAGAAAAAGATGAAGAGCAAGTTATTGTTATGGATGAAGTAAGCATAACGCAAGGCAGTATTTATTAGGTTGTGTATGGCTCCACCTTTGTTGTATTAAATATACTAAATCTGTTTACACTAAGTGAATCATTCCTATAGATATATTGATTACAATAACAACTTTGTGTTGCTCTTTTGAACAACTTATCAACTCTTGTGATTCGTTTCTGTTTCAGAGATTATCAACACTG